ATTGGCGGCGCTCAGTTACTGCGTGCGCAGACGGGAGTGAACACATTCAAATCTATGATTCAAATACTTCATCATAGCATCATGTCGAGAAGACGCTGTGTTCAATGCAAAGATAGTTCAGCCACTTGTTTTCATTTACCAGGGACGAGCATGTGAAGAATCGGTGGTTAGAGTTCATATTTGCAGCGCTACCACAACAGTATAGCCCGATTGTGTTCATCATTTTAATGACGAATCATTCAAAAACGTAAATGAATCAAATGTGGATTCGCAAGTGGTTGTTCCTGAAGGAGGGATCAGTAACTTACTTACCCAGTGTATATGGATCAGCTTCCTCCTTCGAATCACAACCTGTGAGTATTATTAATAATTGTTGCTTTTATGGGTTTTGAACAGTTTTGTAGTGTCGGGACGTGAGGCAGTATGTGTGTGTGCTTGTATCTGTGTGTGTGTGTGTGTAAGTTACGCTCAGCGCAGCTTCTAGGTCTCCAATGTCAATTTTTTTTTAAATATGTGAAATGTTTGTCGCTGTTATTGGAGTTCTCATAAAGAATAGAGCGTCTTGTAGTACTGCAGTGCTTTATCAATATGTTTATGCGTTATGCTAACAAACAATAACTGACTGGGTCTGTCATCTGACCAATCACCGCCGATTAGCGTCACGCAAAGGAGTGATTTGGAAAAATGAGTCATTGTACGAATCATTTGGGAGTCGGTGAGCAAATCAGTTAAAAATAAATGCATATTATAAGACAAATAAAGTGTTTTTTGTCATTGCATTCATGTAAAACTGTTGTTGGGAACTCCCAGAACAATATTAGGAACATTTCAAATGCCATAATAGGTGCCCTTTAATAGCAAAAAAACACTAATAATCATAAACGGATCCTTGAACCGTGATAATTTTAGCATAAAGAAAATCTGATGTTTTACATTTACCTTTAAAGTCTTTATAAAGTTTGCTAAACATTGATATTGTGTAGTGTGTGATCCTCCATCAGCAGCTGCAGTTTCTCTCAGCTGTATCAGTGCAGTCACTGTGACGTCTGACTGACAGAGGTTTTTGTACGACTCTTTATCACTGTGTGAACACACCACCACTGTGATAACTCTGACAGTAATAATCTCCTGTATCTTCAGTCTGGACTCCACTGATGCTCAGAGTAAAATCACTGCCAGATCCACTGCCACTGAATCTAGATGGAGTTCCAGTATAACGGTTGATGTCTAATATATCAGGAGTTTAGGAGCTTCTCCAGGTTTCTGTGAGTACCAGTGCATACGATCACCATTATACACATTACTGCTGGTTTTACAGTTTATTCTGACTTGTTCTCCTGGTTGAACTGCTGATATTGATGGACTCTGAGTTACAGTGATCTGTCCTCTACACTCTGGAAGAAAACACACACAAATGATTAATATTTATTTCACATTTTAAGAGAATTTATAATTATTATAAAAACTGTATCACACAAACCTTGAGCAAACAGTGCAATGGTCCAGATGAAGATGCAGATGTTGTTCATAGTTGTAGTTTAGTCTTGTGTGATGATGAAGAGTGTGTGTGTTCTGCTCTCAGTCATGAAGTGTTAAACTCACAGCACTATAAACACTCTCAGAGCACTGAAGCATGTGCTGACAATGCAAAGAAGTGGGCAGGATTTACAACAGCTTGTGCTGACAACACACTCATATACACTAGAGTTACACAATCATGACTTTATTTAGTGTGTTTATTGTGACTCCTGAGACACTGAGGATGTGCAGATGAACGTCCATCTCTGTGTCCATATTCAGTCATGTGACCATCATCACTGCTACACTTCCACTAGATGAAGCGCCATCACTAAAGTAAGATCATGAATCATGAGTGTGTTCAGAAAGTATCAGGACTGATTGTGAATCTCTAATCAGAGTTCATGGTGTCACTCCATCTATCATGAAGCCTCATGTGTGTCTGAAATCATCAGATGGAGAAGAAACAGGCTGTTAAAGATGGACACATATTAGAGCTTGTTCACGTTTCATGAGATTCAGAACCAGTCCAGATACTTTTATAACACACCTTGAATATGAAAACATGCAAAACACAACTTTGAGATCTTCATTGTCACACTTTCTATTGACTTTGGCTCTAATATTCAATAAAGTCATTATTTGAACAGATTCTCACTGAAGATTGAAGTGTGAAGCTGCAGGTTTTTCTGTCAATCATGATGATTGATCTGCATATGAAGAACAGAAGCATCATTATGACAAACTCATCATCCATGATCAAAGAGGTCAAAGGTCACCTCAGAGGTCACAGCTCATCACATATATTTCTTTAAACAGTGTTATATCAGAAAGCATTTAGTCAAATCTGAATGAGTGAGTGTTGAGAAGAGCTGAGGATCTTCTAATATCAGTGTGTTGAAGTGTTGTTTCTCTCTCTCTGCTGGAGTGTGTGTTCACTCGAGTGGAATAGAGGTTTTTGTACGAGTGTTTCATTAGATTGGATCACTGTGGTGGACATTCGGTGGAGGAACTAAACTGGTGATCAGATGTAAGTCTTTTTAATTACATATTTAAAACATAAATAATTTAGATTTCAGAAAGTGTTTTACAGTTGTTAATAATAAATGGTTATTTTGATGATTAGATATTGTGGTAAAACTTTACTTCAAGCCTTAATGTACGATACATTATAAAGTATTTCATAATGTATGTTATAATGCGTTATATATTTTGTTAAATAATTGCAACCACATTTAAAATGTATTATAATATTTTAAATTCCTTGTCATGAGTGTGAAAATGAATAGATAATATTATAATGTGTTAAAGCCTTGGTTACAATTATTGATGAGATCATACATGCATTATAATGAGTAAAACAATATTTAATTAATGCATTAAAAATACATTTATAATGCAATATGTATAAAGGCTTTAATTATAGTGTTACTGATATTTTTGTATAATTCTTTAATCTAAAACAATGTTATTATTTAAAAAAAATCAATACAATTCTAAGCATATCTCTATACTGTGTCTCACTATGAGTTTATTCAGTTTATTACAGGTTTGTTTCTCCTTCATTTATTTCTACACTGAGTTCATATTTAGTTCATCTTTTATTGTAGAAATCATACATGTAAAAAGAGATTTGACATCAGAATGTAAATGTTGCTCCTTTCTGTAGTTCAGTCAATGATACTGAATCTCTTTTGCTCATGTTGTGCTTATAATTCAGTGCTTTATAATACAAACACAGACGTTGTTTTCTAGTTCTTATAAGTTATATACATTTCTTTTTATGTGAGCTTGAGTCAAACTTTTACATTGAGTTTTTTATTTGTTGAATATCTCACTTGAGCTCAAACTAACTTTTGGGATTTCCAATTAAATTGAATGAAAGCAGTCTGTGTATTCCGATGTTTAGTTTGATTGATGCGGTGTGTGTGTGTGTGTGTGTGTGTGTCTCCTGCAGCTGGTCCCACAGTGAAGCCCTCAGTGTCTCTGCTGCCGCCCTCTTCTCTGCAGATCTCTGGAGACTCAGCCGCACTGCTCTGCCTGCTCAGCTCTTACTCTCCACAGGGGGCGCTGGTGAGCTGGACACTGGACGGGTCAGAGGTCACCGAGGGGGTTCTGACCAGCGCAGAGAGCCAGCAGGACGGCCGCTACAGCCGCAGTAGCGTCCTGACCCTCAGCAAAGCACGCTGGGAAGAGGGAGAGCTGTACGTCTGCAGAGTAACACATGATGGAGCTCCTCATGAGGTCTCGTTCCACAAGAGCTCTGAGTGCTGATGTTTCTCTCCTGAAGATGAGCCGTATCTGAGTGTCCTGTGTCAGGCAGGATTCACATGAGTCTAGTGCTGCAGCTGGAGTGCTTTACAACTCAATACTCAAACAGTGTGTGTGTGTGTGTGTGTGTGTGTGTGTTTGCTGCAACATTCAATAAAGCTTCTCAACAAGTTCACTTTGTGTCTGACAACATCATTCAACTAACAGATGAAGATGCAGGAGCTTTTCAGAAGGTTGATGTGGCAGTAAATGTCAAATAAAGCTCTTGGGGTTTGAACATGGTCTCTGGAGACAGAGCTGCTCTATTCTGAGAGATCACAATCACTCCACCCTGACAATGCAAATGGGCTTTCAGTCTCACTCTCTGATTGGTCACATCATCTGGACTGGAACACTTTCACTTCTGCTCCACATTTACATCTAAAGAAGGTTGTGATACTTCTTATATATAAAGTATAATAAAAATCATTAAGAAACCATGATCACAACTCAAGAATCAGCCGTTGTGACAGTATTTGTGTAATAATGTAAACATTTCTAATAAATATGGAGTTCAGTCATGAAACTCTAGATCAGGTTCTCCAGCTGGACACATTTTGGACGTCTCTCTAATCTGACAAACATTTCAGGTGTTGCAGTCTCTCTATATTCAAATGTCAGAAGAGAAAATATATGTAGGCTACTAAATATTTATTAGATTAATTATATGAAATAGTCTAAAATGGCTGGATTGTCTGAGAGGAAAAGTAATTATTAAGGCGTATAATTCTTTGACGTGTTGACTCCAAGATGTCTTTGATAACATTATGATAGCGTTGAGGAAGAAGTTTTTTTTTTTTTTAGAATTTGGTAAACTATGAATACCACAATGAAATGTTAATGCAATATTAGTAAATATATTTGTCAAATATACAAAAATTATTTTAAATGACTGGTATTTTTAAATATTATTTTCTTAAGGTGTAAGCCTATGTGTAGCTCATTGTAGCTATGCTTTAAATATTGTATCTGAAGTCTAGTAAATTTGTGTAGCCTGTAATGTGTAATAAAAAGTCAGCACGAGATTACAGTTGCAAAAACAGAACAGTTTATTGAAAATAAGCAACAATACAAAGAAAGTGTCACAGTCTGCGTCTCCAGCACTACACTTCCCAAGATCCTCTTGTCTCCTCTCCTGAACTCACTCCCTCATTAGCCACCTGTTCCTCGTTTTGTTCATCTGTTTCACCTGTTTTCACCCCATTTAGCTTAATTCCTCTGTGTATTTAGTTCAGTTCAGTTCCATTCAGTCTTGGTCGGTCGATGTTGCATGTTACCTTGTGTTGCTCCTACCTGTATTCTTGTGATATATATTGATAGTAAAAGTTCTCTTCGTTGTAATCTGGACTCTGTCTGCTCTTCTGCCTGCACCACACCGTGACAGAAAGTAACAATAATAATGTCAATACAACACAAAGAAATGAAATTTAAACACAAAGAACAGAAAATTATTGAGAAATAGGCTATTAAAAATAAAAAAATACAACAACAAAAAATGCTATTTATAGGCTATATGCAATGCAAATATTTTAATTTAACTTTAGTTTTAACATGAACATTATTTGTTTAGGTCCAAATAGAAAGTTTAACTTTAACATTTTCAACATTTATTGAAACTATTTTTGAACAATTGAAGTTTTCTAATTAAAATGAACATTTCTTTGTTTAATATAGAGTAATTAAGAAGCAGGCTTTGGAAAACCTTCTGGCATTAGTGCTGCGACTGCGGGCGGTTGTGGAGAGGATTTTCATGGACTTTCAGCGACAATTTCCACTGCAACGACATTGTCGTTTTGAATGTTCACTTTTAATAAGGAAGTCCTCCTCCACGTCCTGTCCATCCTCTACAAGTTTAGAAAGGAGTGATGTGTGCTGTGGCAGTGGCTTTGGACATGGACGTTTTTTGCAGCATGTTGCATTTTTGGCAATGGTGAAATTTGTTTTTGGGAAAAAACTTGGATTTCTTGGATTTCGGTTTCTTTCGTTGTTGTAATAAACAGTTCTCCATCGAATTCCCTTGTGGTCAAAGAGGTGAACTGGTCGCATTTTCCGTAGCAAATCAGTCCAATTTGAGCATCCCAGAGCTGTAGCTTTATCCTGCGGTGAGGTCCTCCACCTGAGCGCTCTGAGTTTCCAGCTGTTCCAGCAGTTTTTAAGTATAATTTAAAATAATATAATTGATTTAAGAACTTACATGTTGCTTTTGGGACATTTTTTATCCTCCTCCACGGTCCGTTTAGATTTATTTGGAGGGTCTCTGTAGTCAAACTGCAGGTCGTTGACCACCGTCAGGCGTGTTCTTCTTCCACATATTATGTCCAAGCCCTCACCTGAACGATCTAAAAGGAAGACATAATGAAATTAGACATAAATATAGACTTCTGTTTGTATGAAAATAAAACAATCTTAGAAAGTTGATTAAATACTTACTTGGTTATTTTGTAATTCCAGTCAATTTAACTGACGATTCACAGTTTTTGCGCTCGGATGAAAAGATCTCTTTTTTCAACGCAAAAAACGGCAACTTGGTGGTAGTTGTCAATCTGCAATATCTGTTTTTTAAATGCTGATTATATAATTATGGACACGTTGTGTAAGTATCCGGTTACACACGTGTCGTCCTCGTCCAGTTTGATTCTCTTGGATGCGGATGCCATGATGAGCTGTCAGTAGGCGAATGTGATACAAGGTTGATTTTACACACTTTTATAACCTACGCCCATTAGAAGTCAGACAAGTCTAGACAATGATAGATATCAAGTCAAAAGGGTTGAATTAAAGGACAAGCAGTCTTGCCAAAATGAAACATGTTACTAGGCTATTCATAGATGCCACCTACGTCACTCCAAACCGAACGCCGCCATATTTACGCCCGGTACGGCCGCCCAAACTGCCCATTTGACTGAGACGGAGAGACAGAGATATCTGGAGAAAATTTGTATTTTAGCCTCCGATCCTTATTTCTTACCCCCAGTTTTATTTTATCCATTATTATCTGCCCCAGATAATACACATTTTACACATTTTAGATGTCTTCCCTATCTGTATTAATTTTTTTTTGTCTTGGAGAGTCTCTACCATAGTAAATTGATAAGTTGAATCATCATTAAAAAGACACAATGTTCAGTTTTGGTCCAATACTACTGAACCATGTGGGGTTTTTTTAGTTTTTTTTTTTTTTAGCTGTTTTAGCTCATTTTAACATGGTATGTTTTAATTTGAATAGAGTCTGTTCTCTGTTGTCTAATGAATGACCGTAACTGTAGATCATGGATTTGATCCTGTGGAACAAAAACTATTGTTGAAGACAATATCCAACTCTTGCTGTATTTTCTAGAATGGTGAGTTCGATCTTTTGTACAGGGAATATAACGTTTTCTAATTTTGAAAATAGGGGTTTGATAGTGTTTAAGTGAAATTAAGTACATACATGTGTGTTTTAGATTGAAACAGTTTCTTCTTTTGTAAACTTGTCTTTAAAAGCAGAGGCGGACAGAGTAAAAGTACAGATGCCCCTTGCTAAATGTTACTCAAGTGTAAGTAAAAGTGTGACCGGTGCAGGCCGGGGCGGACTCAGATGACCGGTCGCCCTCTGACCAGACACCACCGTGAGGAGCCGACGCCACAGGTGCACGACAGAAAGACGACAGAGGCGGGAGATCATTTCAAAGGAGTAACAATCTTTATTGAACACAATATAGTAATGAGCACGAAGTTGATGTACTTCAGCGTCTTCTCTAGGTCTTCTTCAGTTATAGCTAGTTTCTGACCGAACGTCACCACTTCGCCCCACGGCGACTCCACCAACGATACGCCTTCTTTCAGACGGTAAGTACGGAGGTAAAGATTCGATACGTACGACTGATCTCTTAGGGCATAAAACGAAAGTGGCTTTCACATGGTGGAGTAATGATGGGAGTGGCACCATAAAAGTAGTCTAGAGATTGCATTAAGAGATTAGGGGGTGCGTTCATTAATTAACTCTGAGCGCAGTTTCCGAACCGTCAAGAGTGTAGCAGAGCGAATTTACAAACGCACCCTAGGTTAACAAGTTCAACTGTGAACATTTCGGTGTGTAGCCTAATATGCTTAGAATTAAAAACAGTTAAATGATTAAATAGTATGAAGGATAAAAGTGCCTTGTGTCACTCCAAGTAGACGACCACTTAGAAGGCTCATGTCCTCCTTGTTCTCCACACCAAGTTCCTCCAGGCCTGCCATCAAGGTAGTTAGTGTTTCTGCGGGGAGGTCTGGAAGTACTGCCAAGACAGCCCTCCTGAGCTCCTCCTGTGCTGGAGCCATGTTTCTGGAAAGGAGTGATGGAGACAGATCATTGTAATGTCACACATTGTGTAGGCTGACAAAGGATAATAATCCAGTAGATCATCATGCCTAATGCAAACAAACTGCTCTTGAGGTGTCCCCAAAACACTATAGACCCCAATGTCCCTCAACTTAACAAAACAATATTTTTCAGAGACAAAGGACACAGAGCCATGGTGCACAATGACCAGCTCTATCTTGCCAACCTCCAACTCTTCTTCAGTTTTCCCCAGCTAAATAAACATGCCCTTTTTGTATGATGTGCCCTTCACCATCACTGTGTAAGATGCTACTGTATCTTTAGATTCAAAATGCAAACCAACAACAGCCTCTCGGATTTTGTCACTGTAGTCATTTACATAAAAATGTCATCTCTTTATCCAGGAACACACTCGGCTGAAACATTTCACCTGCACTCAAGTATGCCTGGAAGAGCTGGTGTCTCTCTGCGACTGTCCTGCAGATGTTCTTGAAATTATGTAACTTCCTAGCACATCTTTTGAAGAATGTGTGCTTACTCTCAAACCTGAGTGTCCAAAGGCGAATAAGGGGACCAAAGTGGGTAATGAGCTCTGGATAATGAAGTAAATAGTGGTGTTTGGGCTTCAGGGGCTCATTGGGAAAGAGCTGCCTTCGAAAGTAGATATACTCCTCAATGAGTATTTTAAGATAAGCGACCTGATCTGTAGTGATTGCTGGTGCACAAATGAGCTCTACAATTTCTCTGAGCTGCAGCACAAGTTGCCAGGCAGCATTCTCACATGGATTCCTAATCCTATCTCCTATTAGGAGTGGGAGCAAACGCAGAAAGCACCAGTTCTGGACTGCAAGTCCACTAAGTCTTCTGCTACCTGGTGAAACATCGGCTGGTTTGTCCTGGGCATCATTTCCCTGATAGCTGAACTGATCTTTGCACCTGTTGAGTTGTCTATAGTTGAAATGTTTCTCCTCAACTACATGACCAATCAACAAACTAAGGTCACAGGAAACAATGCCTTCAAACAGGTCATGGCCAAGACATGGGGGTAATCCAGGCTGACAAACATGGAAGAAGGACAGTTGGTTAAAAGGAGAGTTTGACTTGATACCAAATTCAGAATTTGTACCAGTGTTTTCTAATTCTTGTAGATGATTCAGAAAAGACTGTTCTGTACGCTTGTTGCCACACAATAATGGAGAGCTCTCAAAACTGGATCTTTTTATATCACAATACCTGCAGAAATAATGGCTCACACTAAAGTTTTCAACAAATCCGCCAATAGAGTGAGACCCTAAATTGTCACCCGAAATAGTCAAGTCAAGTCACATTTATTTGTATAGCGCTTTTCACAATACAGATTGTATCAAAGCAGCTTCACAGTGATAACATGAAAGTAGTACAACACAGATCAACAACATTGCTAAACACTAAATAACCCCAACTGAGCAAGCCAAAAGCAAGGCGACAGTGGCAAGGAACCAAAACTCCATCAGATTGGATGGAGAAAAAACCTTGGGAGAACCCAGGCTCAGTCGGGGGCCAGTTCTCCTCTGGCTTACATTCATATTGTTTAAATATAAATATTAAATATAAATATTGTTTATATATAAAATGGCGCCATAACACATCGCAGGCATTGAGTCGTCTCTTCACAGGCGTTGGTCCTCTCATCACAGACGTTGGGGCATCCGAAATCCCCGTGAGAGGCTGGACACAAAACTGGACCTAACGAACGCCATTTTTCCGACGACGCTTGTCCCGAGATAACAGCAGAAAGGCAGATGGGAAATAATTAGCATAGCTGATGTTCATAATGATTTCCATTATACGGGAGTCGGTGTTAGAAACCACTATCTCACAAACTCTCCGCAACCCAACCATACGCGCCGACCCGTTTGACTAAGGCTGTCGAGCCCCACTGTCGCGGAAATGCGTTTCAGTGGCAAACGGTTCCGTATGGCATAACAGAGGACTAGAAGGTAAGCATTATGTGAATGCTTGACTAAAGAGATGCGTCTTTAATCTAGTTTTAAACTGTGTCAGCGAGTCAGAGCCTCGGACCGTATCGGGAAGGCCATTCCAGAGTTTTGGAGCTAAATGCGAGAACGCCCTCCCTCCTTTACTGGACTTCGATATCCTAGGAATGACCAGAAGCCTTGAATTTAGTGATCTTAAGGAGCGCGGTGGATTGTAGGGCGAGAGAAGGTCCCTTAAGTACATAGGAGCTGAACCATTTAGGGCTTTATAGGTTAGTAGTAGTATTTTGTAGTTGATACGGAACTTAATAGGTAACCAGTGTAGAGATGATAAAATCGGTGTTATATGATCATATTTTCTTGACCTAGTAAGAACTCTAGCAGCTGCATTTTGTACTAACTGTAGCTTGTTTATTGAGGATGCAGGACAACCGGCTAATAAAGCATTACAGTAATCTAGTCTCGAGGTCATGAATGCGTGAACTAATTTTTCAGCATCAGAAACAGATAGCATGTTACGCAGCTTAGCAATGTTTCTAAGGTGGAAAAAGGCTGTTCTTGTAACATATGAAATATGATTTTCGAACGACAAGTTGCGGTCTAGTATAACACCCAGGTCTTTTACTGTAGTGGATAAAGTAACAGGACATCCGTCTATATTAAAGTTGTATTGTGAGAGGTTTTGTGAGTAGACCAATAAGTAATACCTCCGTTTTATCTGAATTTTATAGCAGAAAATTACGCGTCATCCAGCATTTTATATCTTTGAGACACTCTGTCATTTTAGATGAGTTAGTGTTTTCATCTGGTCGTGATGAAATATATAATTGAGTGTCGTCAGCATAACAGTGGAAGTTAATTCCATGTTTTCTTATAATATTACCAAGTGGCAGCATATATATTGAGAATAGCAGAGGGCCTAAAACCTAAAACCGTCTACAGACGGTATGTGTAGCACTATAGTGCAGTAATATGCTCTATAGTGCATACAACAGCCAACATATACTCACATTTCTAGATGCTCTCCATAATGTATGTATACTGTAATATACTGTATATAGTGTTATTTCTATTACAGTATATATATATATATATATATATATATATATATATATTTACACAGTATATATTGCTTTATCTGAATCTTACTGCAATGTACAGTGCTGCAATGTACAATATTGAGTAGGCCTGTTTGCTTTTTTTGGTTGTTTTGAAAATGTTCCTCCTGAAAATATGCCTTCTGAATAAACAGTCAAAATCAGAAACTGCAGTGTTTTATATAAAGTAGCCTAGTGTGTTCCCTCTGTTCTGAAAGTGTTAGCATAAGGTGCAAGTATGTGTCATTTTGTCATCAGAGTTACATTTTGACAAAGGAATGTTAGGTTTTGATTGTAGAGTTTCAATTTGACACAGATGTGAACGGTATATTTCCCAGTGTTGTGTCACGTTTACTTGTGTGTAGAGTTTTGGCACAATGAGTGAAATTTTGCTAAATGTGTTCAAGCAATGGGCAAAAATGGGGCTTTTTTTGTTCAGTGTTACACTTACTACAGACATTACATACATAGTGTTTTGTAAAATATTTGAGAATATTGTTTTTATACCCAGATTACACAAATACACGGTAACAAATATATATTTTTTCCCACAAAATCAATGGGAGATATCCCACATTTTGTACACCCCAACCAACACAAAGTTGCACATACAGTGGTCTACATATAAAACAACAGAATTTGTTATGCTGTTACAGTAAAAAAAGAAATGAAAAAAATCATCCTCTCTTTGGTTTTGGTATTTTATGCTAAAGCTCTGATTGCTAATTGTAAAACTGTGTGAAATGTGTTTGCCCGTGTGACGAGTCAGTGTGAATATCTGAATGGCAGTGTGTTCCTCATGAAAACAAGAGATTTTCTGCATGAAAATTGTGCCAAATGCAGAGAATTTGTGTGCAGTGTTTTGAAAAAAGTGTGTTTTAGGACTGCAATTTGAGTGTAAAGCAGGAATTGTGCTTGTAGTTCAGCAGAATTGGTTCAGGGGGTTGGTGAATGAGTTGCATGTTGTGGTCATTGTGTCTTAAGTACCAGAAAATGTGTGTAAACAATTGAGAAAAACTGTATGATGAATGGAGAAAAAGTGTTTTCCATTGATCATAGTGTTTTCCATTGAGCACATCAGTGTTCAACTGGTTCTTATAAATGTCTATTCATATGATGGTTTGTGTGTGTCATTTGAAAACAAAATACCATTTAGAGAATATATAACATTGTTTTGAATGTAAAGTTTCATTTTGCAGCAGAATTGAGGGGTTTTGCCGATTGTGTGAGTGTTTTTAGATTTGTGTGTAGAGTTCTGAGTGTATGAGGCATACTTGCACGAAATGTGTGTAAATAATCGAGAAAAACTGGTGGATGTGGCCATTGTGTCACTGGAGGAGAGGTTCAAGACCTTGGCAGAGGTCAAGGAGGAGTTTGCTGTTCTTGTCAACTTCCCTAAAATTAAAAATGTGTGTGAAACACTAAGCGGCACTTTAAGTAATGGTGGATAGTCAGACCTAGTAGGAAAACAACTCGCTCTTGAAATGAGAAGTTTCCCTGACCTACCATCAACCAACAAGACCACCATGGAGATTCTTGAGTTTTATCATGAAAAGCGACTGCAAGAAATCTGGCCAAACGTGTGTGTGTGTGTGTGTGTGTGTGTGCACTGAGAGTATCAGTGACTGCAGCGGCTGCGGAGAGGAGATTAACACACACATGAGGTCTACCATGAGCCGAGAGAGTCTAAGTGGACCAGCAGAGATCAGCATCCGCCATCATGAGTCTCAAACTTGGCTTTTGATTCTGTCATTGATGACTTGAGATAAAGAGCTCTAGGCGAGTGCAGTTTTCAAATTAACCGTTTCTCACATTTTTGCACAAATAAACGTGAATAACCATTTTTCTCTGTAGTGCTGAAATATAACATGTAATAGAGTTTGTGCACCTTTTGTCATTAGTTTAATTATTGTGATTTTTGTTGTTGGTTATTATTTATTTCACCATTTATTTACCTTATGTATATGTTAACGTTGTTCAATTTTCATGCTATATTATTGTAAATTGTAATTCATATGAAAGATCTGTCTAAAATCTGCATGTCGGTCCTGCATTCGAGAGGGATACACACATGAATGACAAACTAATATTAGTCAATGAACAATGAACTGGGTTAATATATTTTAGCATTAAATAAACATCTTATATTGCATTTACCTTTAAAGTCTTTAGAAACTTTGAACTAGACATTGATATTGTGTAGTGTGTGTGATCCTCCATCAGCAGCTGCAGTTTCTCTCAGCTGTATCAGTGCAGTCACTGTGACGTCTGACTGACAGAGGTTTTTGTACGACTCTTTATCACTGTGTGAACACACCACCACTGTGATAACTCTGACAGTAATAATCTCCTGTATCTTCAGTCTGGACTCCACTGATAATCAGAGTAAAATCTCGTCCAGTATGTCTTGTTCCACTGCCACTGAATCTAGATGGAGTTCCAGAATAACGGCTGTTTATCCAATAAATCAGGAGTTTAGGAGCTTCTCCAGGTTTCTGCTGATACCAGGCTAAACGATCGTCATATATTCCTACATCTATATGACACTCTATTGTTGCTGTTTGACTCAGTTGGACAGTTTCAACTTCAGGTTGAGTCAGAGTCACTCCTCTGGATTCTGAAGAAGAGAAAAGAAAGTCAGTCAGTTTGTTAATCACCTTATATTTGTATATTAAAATAATCAAAACAACAATGGCATATTATATTTATATTAAAAAGTAACAACCTTGAGCAAACAGTGCAATGGTCCAGATGAAGATGCAGATGTTGTTCATAGTTGTAGTTTAGTCTTGTGTGATGATGAAGAGTGTGTGTGTTCTGCTCTCAGTCATGAAGTGTTAAACTCACAGCACTATAAACACTCTCAGAGCACTGAAGCATGTGCTGACAATGCAAAGAAGTGGGCAGGATTTACAACAGCTTGTGCTGACAACACACTCATATACACTAGAGTTACACAATCATGACTTTATTTAGTGTGTTTATTGTGACTCCTGAGACACTGAGGATGTGCAGATGAACGTCCATCTCTGTGTCCATATTCAGTCATGTGACCATCATCACTGCTACACTTCCACTAGATGAAGCGCCATCACTAAAGTAAGATCATGAATCATGAGTGTGTTCAGAAAGTATCAGGACTGATTGTGAATCTCTAATCAGAGTTCATGGTGTCACTCCATCTATCATGAAGCCTCATGTGTGTCTGAAATCATCAGATGGAGAAGAAACAGGCTGTTAAAGATGGACACATATTAGAGCTTGTTCACGTTTCATGAGATTCAGAACCAGTCCAGATACTTTTATAACACACCTTGAATATGAAAACATGCAAAACACAACTTTGAGATCTTCATTGTCACACTTTCTATTGACTTTGGCTCTAATATTCAATAAAGTCATTATTTGAACAGATTCTCACTGAAGATTGAAGTGTGAAGCTGCAGGTTTTTCTGTCAATCATGATGATTGATCTGCATATGAAGAACAGAAGCATCATTATGAGAAACTCAAACACAACATCATCCATGATCAAAGAGGTCAAAGGTCACCTCAGAGGTCACAGCTCATCCCATATATTTCTTTAAACAGTGTTATATCAGAAAGCATTAAGTCAAATCTGAATGAGTGAGTGTTGAGAAGAGCTGAGGATCTTCTAATATCAGTGTGTTGAAGTGTTGTTTCTCTCTCTCTGCTGGAGTGTGTGTTCACTCGAGTGGAATAGAGGTTTTTGTACGAGTGTTTCATTAGATTGGATCACTGTGGTGGACATTCGGTGGAGGAACTAAACTGGTGATCAGTAAGTCTGTCCATTTAATCACCTAATAAAAATATAATTTAGATTTCAGAAAGTGTTTTACAGTTGTTAATAATAAATGGTTATTTTGATGATTAGATATTGTGGTAAAAATTTACTTCAAGCTTTAATGTACGATACATTATAAAGTATTTCATAATGTATGTTATAATGCAGTATATATTTTCTTAAATAATTGCAACCACATTTAAAATGTATTATAATATTTTAAATTCCTTGTTTCATCTGAAATTGGTTGTTTGTCATGAGTGTGAAAATGAATAGATAATATTATAATGTGTTAAAGCCTTGGTTACAATTATTGATGAGATCATACATGCATTATAATGAGTAAAACAATATTTAATTAATGCATTAAAAATACCTTTATAATGCAATATGTATAAAGGCTTTAATTAAAGTGTTACTGATATTTTTGTATAATTATTTAATCTAAAACTAAGATATTATTATCAGAATAGCATTATTCCTGTCAACAAAAAAAATCAATACAATTCTAAGCATATCTCTATACTGTGTCTCACTATGAGTTTATTCAGTTTATTACAGGTTTGTTTCTCCTTCATTTATTTCTACATTGAGTTCATATTTAGTTCATCTTTTATTGTAGAAATCATACATGTAAAAAGAGATTTGACATCAGAATGTAAATGTTGCTCCTTTCTGTAGTTCAGTCAATGATACTGAATCTCTTTTGCTCATGTTGTGCTTATAATTCAGTGCTTTATAATACAAACACAGACGTTGTTTTCTAGTTCTTATAAGTTATATACATTTCTTTTTATGTGAGCTTGAGTCAAACTTTTACATTGAGTTTTTTATTTGTTGAATATCTCACTTGAGCTCAAACTAACTTTTGGGATATCCAATTAAATTGAATAAAAGCAGTCTGTGTATTCCGATGTTTAGTTTGATTCATGCGGTGTGTGTGTGTGTGTGTGTGTGTGTGTCTCCTGCAGCTGGTCCCACAGTGAAGCCCTCAGTGTCTCTGCTGCCGCCCTCTTCTCTGCAGATCTCTGGAGACTCAGCCGCACTGCTCTGCCTGCTCAGCTCTTACTCTCCACAGGGGGCGCTGGTGAGCTGGACACTGGACGGGTCAGAGGTCACCGAGGGGGTTCTGACCAGCGCAGAGAGCCAGCAGGACGGCCGCTACAGCCGCAGTAGCGTCCTGACCCTCAGCAAAGCACGCTGGGAAGAGGGAGAGCTGTACGTCTGCAGAGTAACACATGATGGAGCTCCTCATGAGGTCTCGTTCCACAAGAGCTCTGAGTGCTGATGTTTCTCTCCTGAAGATGAGCCGTATCTGAGTGTCCTGTGTCAGGCAGGATTCACATGAGTCTAGTGCTGCAGCTGGAGTGCTTTACAACTCAATACTCAAACAGTGTGTTTGTTTTTGTGGTTTACGAGGACATTTGACCTGAATACGCACCGGCACTATGGGGACATTTGGGTTTACGAGGACAGAGGCCATGTCCTCATAATTCCGACAGTGTAAACGCCATCTACGATGTCCCAGATGCTCCCTCTCAAAGTTTGGCGCCATGTCTTTATATACCACAAAACCCTGAAATTTTACCATACACAGTGTATCCCTGATTTCGCGAGTGTCGCCCCTGTAGCCAGGTCCCGGTATTACACCCGCGTCATCAAAAATTTGCATGTTTTACACAAGTGTATGCTTCGAGGCCTGTGATTGGACAGATCGGTACCGGTAGGCGGGAAATTGCGAAAACACAATGGCGCCGGTGGGCGGAGCTTCATTCAGCGTCAGCATAGTCTTTATAACAAGCAACTTAATGCAAAATAATTATTATTTAAGTATTTTTGCCTGTAATTTATTAATTGTGGATTAATTGTATGATAAATAAATAAATAAAACCCTGTTTATATTATGATAAGTTAGACGTAACTTAATCAGGTCACGGTCGTCACGGTCACTTCCTGTTTGAACGAGAGACAAACTCTGGACCTGAAAGGACCGAAAGGACATATCTGGACCCGATGAAAGCAACTGTTATGTGTTAGGTAAGTTATAATGTTGTTTAATTGCTTCTCTAATAGCACCTGGGTCTGTTTGGCTTGTTTGTGATGTCCTGTAGGCTCTTTGCTGCTCGTTTTACAGTTAGAAAGCAGCTAGCGCGTGATGCTAACGGAGCTAGCGGACTTTTAAGTTAGTGATTCTGTTTACAGACTGACATGAGGGAATCAGCGATGCTTGTCATTTTAAACTCGTTTTAGATTGAACTTTAATTGTAACTGCTACCTTTAATGATCACATAAAATAGTCTAGCCTTCATAATAACGCGTTGTCATGACTACAGTCTGTGTTTTTTACCCAGTACAGTATATTACTACAGTTATGCTTACATTAAGAAACATGTGCTCTTATCACTCCTGACTATAATTCAATATACTCTGAATATTAATATAACTGTCAGTCTGATTAAGTCTTATTAATACTGTCACTATTGCCTGTAATTTATCAATTGTGAATGCAATTTATTAAATGAATAGTTATGTTCAATTAACATATTCCTTAAATATCATATAATAAAGTATGAAAATAACTTGAATGCCGTTTACCATAATTTATCGATTTATTTAAAACAAACTTGTTGAATAATATGTCAATAGGTCAGGATTACTCCAGGGCAGATTCAGCCATCATTATAAAGCTGAATTCAGTGTTTCCATGCTTAAGTGACACTGTTTAATAAAGCTGTGTCAGGTACATGATATGTTATTTACAGTTACTTGTTTTATTATTAAAGGTTAAAAATGACCCAATGTAATAGACAGGCACGATATTGCAAAAAACTGATATTGCAATATTTGTTGTTGTTTTTTTCTACAATACATAATGCAACATATAAAAAGCAATTTCTACAAATGACTTAAATAGCTCTATTTGGCAATAATGAATCATTCTAGAATGATTGGCGTGATTTTGTTGGGGTTTGTATCTGTATAGAAAAAAATAAGCATAGATAAAAAAAATGTAACAAGGATGTGAAATAATCAGTGGCTCATATTTTCCAGGTAAGTCTAGCAACATTTAGGTACTGAAATTGAGTAAATAACTGTAAAATAACACTGCATCATCTTTAGGTTATGCATGTATAGCCTGACTTCACATATGCCTAATACTGCAGTGTCACTAGACTCACTACCACAGATAGGTATGAATGATAAAGCAATATATTGTGCAGCCCTACAGATTAATGTTCAGGGCTTTAGTGCATCACATTACATGCGTGTTCATTACAGTATGTCAGGTTGTGTGTAGCTTTACACCTGGTTTATGAGGACACAGTTTTATGAGGACATCATAAGAACATGTTCCTGATGTTTGACTTGACTGGAGAATCTGTGTGTGTTGTGTAAGTTTGACAGAATCCTGGTCTATGAGGACACAGTTTTACCAGGACACAAATATGGAATATTAGGATCGATACTGATATACTGACCCATAATTCACAGCTCATTTTGTCAAAAGGTCAGGATTACTCCAGGGCAGATTCAGCCATCATTATAAAGCTGAATTCAGTGTTTCCATGCTGAAGTGACACTGTTTAATAAAGCTGTGTCAGCTACATGATATGTTATTTACAGTGTTGATTTTACTTGTTTTATTATTAAAGGTTAAAAATGACCCTATGTAATAGATCGGCACGATATTGCAAAAAACTGATATTGCAATATTTGTTTTTTCTACAATATATAATGCAATATAAAAAGCAATTTCTACAAATTACTTAAATAGCTCTATTTGGAGATAATTAATCATTCTAGAATGATTGGCGTGATTTTGTTGGGGTTTGTATCTGTATAGAAAATAATAAATGGAAAGCATAGATAAAAAAATGTAACAAAGATGTGAAATAATCAGTGGCTCATATTTTCCAGGTGAGTCTAACAACATTTAAGTACTGAAATTGAGTAAATAACTGTAAAATAACACTGCATCATCTTTAGGTTATGCATGTATAGCCTGACTTCACATAGGCCTAATACTGCAGTGTCACTAGACTCACTACCACAGATAGGTATGAATGATAAAGCAATATATTGTGCAGCCCTACAGATTAATGTTCAGGGCTTTAGTGCATCACATTACATGCGTGTTCATTACAGTATGTCAGGTTGTGTGTAGCTTTACACCTGGTTTATGAGGACACCGTTTTATGAGGACATCATAAGAACATGATGTTTGACTTGACTGGAGAATCTGTGTGTGTTGTGTAAGTTTGACAGAATCCTGGTCTATGAGGACACAGTTTTACCAGGACACACATATGGAATAGTAGGATTGATACTGATATACTGACCCATAATTCACAGCTCATTTTGGCGAATACCAATATCAAAAACTATTTGTGCTTGTTAGATTAAATGTAATCATTGAAGAAGTTAAAAAATAGTAACCTCTGTTGAAATTGGCTTTCAATAAGTAATAATAAAATTTGTACTTGTTTGTCTTTATATATATATATATATATATATATATATATATATATATATTATTTGCTCTTCTTTCTTTTTTTCAGATGATAACTGATAAGACCATGTTAATGTAATAATTGAGTTATTCCTTAAAGAATAGAACAGATTTCAGTTCCTCAGAAACAGATTGTTATCAGTCACTGAATTATGATTGTGTGTATAAGAAGTGAGTCATGATCACGTACTGTATTTCTAGCACAGGCGCAATGTCTCGTATTATATCACTCTCATACATAAACATACTTAAACTCAGGGTGCCATCCAAATGTTTCTAGTTACCAGTGTCCTGGTAAAACTACTGTCCTCATAGACCAGACTTCTGTCAAACTTACACAACACACTGAGATTCTCCAGTCAAGTCAAACATCAGGAACATCTCATCTCATCTTATGATGTCCTCATAAAAAAATGGTGTAAGACACGTGACATTCTTTAATGAAAACACTTGTAATGTGATGCATAAAATCCATTAAAATTACCTTGGCTAACATTTAAATATTGAAATGTTTTGTAATCTTGTATATTATCTCAAATCAATATTTCATGTGGAAATAAGTATTGATAGGTAGCTGTGTATCGGGACCCTGATTATTAATAACTGGCTGACTACATTGTCCTTATATATTATTTATGATTTTTTTAAACTCTTAGGTGAAGTGTTCTGTATGTAACGCTTTATTTCATATTTTCAGATGAGCCATAAGACCCAGTTGTCCTCAGGCAGTGATGATTATGTGCTCTGACTCTGGGACTGCACGAGGTAAGTGAGAGTTGTGCTGGAAGAGAATGAGCAAACGAAGCAGACACATTGTGAGATCTAGTGTTCACATATTTACACCAGTGTTTCATGTCTACTTTTATGTTTTGTAGACTCCCAGTGAGGTTGATTGCTCCACTCTCGAAATCAACACTCGAAATCAAGTCGGAGATGAACAGAAGGTATTGTTTTTTGTTTTTTTTATTTTTGGAAATCAAATTAGGGATACACAGATATGAACATTTGGGCCGAGTTCAATAACTGATCATTCTTTATATTTGAAAGCCGAGATCTGATATATTGGCAAATTGTATATACTTTGAAAGGCCTAATTACAAAAACGAAACGATCATCATTAAAAGCCAATCTCCCAAACACTTCAACATGAAACAAACAAATACAGTACAGTAGCCTAGTTTGAACCAGTGAGGAATTAATTAACTTTAAAATTTATTTTACATTCATATTTCCATTCACTTTTTTGAAAAAAATGTTAGTGTCTTGTTAGTATTAGTTAACATTAACTAACAATGAACAATAGTTCTACAGGATTTATTAATCTTTCTTAAAGAGCCATTAAACCCCAAACCAAATTTTCTGAGATTTTAACAGAGGTATGTGTGTTGAACACCATTGAAGACAATGTTAGCATCTGTTAGATTTAATAGTAGGGTTAAAATGGTTAAATTTAAGGGGTATTTTTCCGCTTTTTTCGTCTTCCAGTTTTAAAATCTTCATCGTGGCAGTGCGGTGTTAGTGCGTTGATGACGGAGAAACATCTCCGAGTGTTGTTCTTTGCTCGGGTTTTAACAAAAAGGAAACGTTCAAATCGCTTAAAACCATAGACTGTAAAAGAAATGGCTGAACGACTGCGCAGGCTCAAACTGAGCTTGACGACGGAGATGAGACTTGAGTAACCTAGTAGCGGTGCAAAGAGAAATCTGAATCATTCCCTTCCGAATCTTGCAGAGCCGGAGAGCGCGAGTAAGAGCTGTCCATGAGCTCGCAGCAGGAGCAACTCTACAGCTCTCTATGGGCTTCTCCCTTGACTTTATGCCTCCACGTCCCCCCGAATGCTGAGCTTCTCCTCCACTCTATATGGTAATTGCTCTAGTGTGCGACAGAGTCTCGTGACGCAATCGTTAGCCTATTTTTACAAAAACATCTTCTAAATCGGCCGTAACGTAAGATACAAAGTAATGGGGCCTTTTATACATTGTCATGTTTCTTTAGTAGGGTTTGGTATCGTTTGGGTTTTATCCGATACCAGTACCTACTAGGTATTTTTTAAACGGTTCCGGTGCCTAAATGGTTCTTGAAACGGTACTCAAGAAAAGGAAACCGCACACACTTTGTCAAAAAAATAATATCCCTTTATTTACAGGGCCAAACTGGACACAATATTAACTTACAATATAAACAAGTAACATATGTTAATAATAAATAAACCAAATATAAAATAAAAAATCATATTTACATAATATCAAATAAAACAATATTATATCAAACAATATAATTATACTGGAGATTAATAGAGATTACTACCAGGGTAATATAATATCGACATGGCTACAGGTTCCCATGTTTTGTCTGCTTTAACTAGTCATGTAAGTTATCTGGTCATTTACTAGTTAAGCTCTTATCCAGTTTTATATTTCGTTCCCACTGCATATGAACATATGAAAGAGAACGTCTCTGTGTAAACCATGTTCTCTGAATAGGGAACGAGATGCTCCGTTCGCTGCCAAACTCCTCGCGCTGCTGACAAGCTTCCTTTTTCAACAGAGAAATCTGAGGAGCAGAGCATGCGCGCACTAATATAATATGACGACGTGAGCGTCAAGGCGGTGCGAATGGTGATTCTATATGGGCTTAAGTTCAGACAATCGTTCTGACGCGTAATTTTACACGTGAAATGCAGCCAAACCTTGCAGCGTTTTGTCTTCGGCATCTTCAATAATATCCTCGCTATCGGCAGACGTTCCGGGAGTCTCCCGCATATTGATAACGGCTCCTGGATAATCGCAAATTAGTTCAAATCTCCCGGAATCTAGAGCGAGCGAGCAAAAGCGCGTGCGAGACAGATCAGACAGTGCTTCAATAAACCGTATAGTACGCGCACGTTGGAGAGGGAGAGGGAGACAGCGAGAGACTGCGTGTGTGCGCCTCATGCCATAGACTTTGGTTACTACCCAACCCTTTTCTTTAGAAATAAATAATGGACAAATGGAGTCTTTGGACATCTTCGATGTAAAGTTATTCGCTGTCACCAAAATGATTGGGAGTCAATGGAAGCCAACGTTTCTGATAAGTTCCGCGATTTTGACGGATTAGAAATAGGCTTGAATGAGGTCTATGCCAGACTTACTTGCAGAGTAAATCTAAATTTGCCGGAAGTTGTCTGGGTTTGCCAAGTCCACTCCGCACACACAATAAGGGAATGATTTTACTCAAACCATATTGTTGATAAATGATACAAGAACAAAAAAAAGTACTAGTTATGAATAATAACGCATCAGTGTTTTTTAAACATGTAGAACTTTTTAATATTAAACATTTGAATATTACAGTAAACATCTTTAATATTTCTGTTTCAAATAGCGTTGTGTTTGAGCTGTGCTAAAGCTTAAGAGCTGAAGGAACACCCATAAACTGAAGCTTTATTAGATGGTTTTAGCTCAACGGAACACAGCCTATATATGATTAATTAGATATTTATACAAAATCATGCAGACATTAACTTGAGAAAAGTTACATAGTGAAACTCCTGTTGTGGATGAAACAGCAGCTAAACCCAAAGAATTCACAAAGTTTTTAATGCAGTAGTTTGCTCATTATAATGTTATGTATATGACAGTCCCAATCATAGTTATTATTGTTCTGCTTTGCTGTTTGAGCGCATGTGCTAAAGGAGATGATCACCGCTAGGCCTACAGTGAAGCGCTTTACTGCAGCGATCATTTACTCAGCCAAATGATTTCTATATGAGATAAAGTATATATATATATATATATATATATATATATATATATATATATATATATAACAAAATAAAAGAGATCACAGATTTGTGATTCAAACTGTTCACAACCATCATAGGGAACAGCGCACATCTGAAGCTGAAGGACATAATCCATTATTCATCAGTGTTAATCAACCTAATTTTCCTATTGAATTGACAACGATAACATTAAAAATGTATTTTCCAATACTGATATGGAGTCCTATATATCATGCATCTCTGATTGGTTATGACCATATATCTATAGGGTTTTAACTATATGCATGATCACAACTTACGTATGTCACCCTGTTTTAAATCTTAAGTCCCTATTCATCTCATTAATTTGATCACTATTAATACTAAGTGGTTTGAAATGTACCATCATGCCTGAATTTGTTTTGGCATGATCAGCCTTCTTTTGCTCAAGTATATCATTGATAATGTGAAATTGTTTTAATCTTATGTTTTATGACCGTGATCAGTCAGTGTTGATGGAGTCAAGTATCTGTGCTGCTTCATTTGGAGAATCTCTGAGTCCTTTGTCTTTAGTAGAATGTTAATTTTTTCTTTCTTTACCTTGCTTTCAGATGAGCCCTGAGAAGGACCATATCAGATCATCATTGGAGGGTCAAGAGTCAAGACTGTGTTGACATGGTAATAAAAAGAGCATTGCATCATTTTAGAAATTGCTAGTCTAGTAAGATCTTTATCACATCATTTTTTTTTTTTTACACCTGAGGCCTGTACCATGATGCTGATCATCAACTTTCTCTGTCAACTCAGGCTTTGATCCTGAGTTTAGGTGTGACATCAGTATAGCCAACAGCCAATCACATGCTGAGAAAGAGAAACTCATTCAAAACTGAAATTAATTTCTCGCAAGAGAAGCAGCACAATTCACTTATTAAATAGAAGTATTAAAATATTAAGAATTTAAACAAATTTACACAACAAGAAGAAAATATCTGTCTATGAAGGAGGACAACTAAAAGAAAAAGACTTGTCACTGTATATCAGTGCAAGTAAAGTTGTGAAGTTTTATAGCTTCATATTTTTATAGCTATAGCATTTTATAGCTTTATCTATTGATTCTAAAGTATATTTATATTACCTTTTATATATTTATTTATTCATTTAAAATCTGCATTGTAGTTGATGAACTAAAATTGTACATGTGTGATAGATTAAGGGAATAATAATTTCTAAATCATACAAATTTATTATTCTAAATAAACATTACTAAAAATTACTAAAAGACTTTCATGGTGCCTTAAACCCAGGGTTGGCGCAAAGTAAACTGAAACATAGCTGGCTAGCCACCTAAACCAGCTTCATGGTAAAGGCCCTGGGTCATTTCATTGTCAAAACAATTCCATTTACACCTGGCCACATAAATGTGTTCACAAAACGGATATAAATCCGAATCTTCAAATCCCACGCTATATCAGATTTAAAGGTGTTCACGTCATTGAAAGCAACCACTATGAGCCACATTTTATGTATCGTCAGCTAATTTTAAGATCAATAGAGAGAGAGTAGCATCTGCACTGGTAAAATCATCAAGATGACTCTGTTGATCATCTGCGACTTTAGTTTTCAATTGGTATTTTGCGCATCAGAATGCTGAAGAGATACTCAGCTACTCATCTGTAGTGATGCGTGTTGCAGAAGCACTGTCATATCTCACTATAACATGTCATTATAGCCTCTTAACTGTTTATTATTTGGCATTTTTTCGGAGTCAAATTTATACAGTGTTACCATTTATTACCTTTACTCTAGTGACCCACCACAGTTTGATCCAAATGAACCAAAAATATTTGTCTGTGTTTATTTTATATTATATCATATTTCTTTTAAATATTTTTTATTTTTGGCAAATCTCTCAAACAAACTAAAATCAAAAGTACAACATGGCTTATAGCGCCCTTATCAAATGGCAAAAGTCGATAATTAAGTAAGTGCTGAAGAGCACACTTTACTCGCTCGATCAGCTCATGATCTGCCTTTTTCCACGCCCCGTTTTAGGGAATGAATGCAGTGAACTCCATCTCTGCTTTGTGCCTTGAGTTTAACATGCATTTGGCACGCAACCAGCACCAGTTACACTATTTTCACATTCGCATTATATCCACATTTTTTGTGGTAATAAGATTTTGTAATAAGATGCGTTTATAAACCTGTTTTCACTGAAACTGCAGGTTTCTGCCAGTATAACAGCTTAAGTGACAAAATTAAGAAAGTATTATAACCTCCTATTGTAAAATAATATACGCATTATATAATATTAATTTTTCATTGACAGTTTTAGAATATTACGGTCTTAGTGATAATTCGAATAATAGGCATCTTAGTGAAGTATTATAGTTTTTATTAATATTATTATTATTAAACGGCGTAATTTTTCATGTTTCATAAATTACATCTGAATACAGGTTAAACTGAAGATGTTCTTGTTTTAAATGTCTCTTTTTCTCTTAGATGAGATCAGTGTGACGGATTCTGCTGCCAGTGATCCTGATGGAAGCGGGTTATGTTGGTATGTGTCAACTAATGCTGGGTACACACCAAAATAATTTTTACATCTTATAAGATTTTCAAAATGTGATAAGATTTTCCAAAAATCCTAGATTTAACCATTTTGCTCCTATAGTTTTGCTCCACACACGAACAGGTTTTTAACCAGAGTCTCGACTGTGAGCACAAAATCTCGCAAGAGTTCAGAATACAGTATACAGAATACAGAATAGTTTTTGGAAAGGTTTTACATAACACGTTGTATAAACATTCGTGCTGTTGCCACAAATCTAGCTGATCCTCCATCTCTGCTGTCCACAACAATTTCACTTTGTGCTGCGCCATGACTGCGTTTGTTATGGGTGTCGAAATGAATCGTTTCTACGATGCATTGTGATGCAGACGAGGACGATTTGGTATCGGTTCAGTAATAGACCATAACCGGTTATAATGCACTGACGCTTTTTCTGACGTCATTTATCACGTATGTGCTTTGTTGCGGTAGCATACACTGGCAGAGGGAGGCGAGTCCCCCCGAGTGCGAGTCAATAAAACTACTTTAAAAGCCTACATCTGGCCACATTTGGCTTTTATGAACAACCAGGTAAGACCTGGAGAAGACACACGCTGTGTGCGCTCATGTCACGCACACAGATTATGCAGGATGTAATACCACTAACTTGATAAACCAAGTTAGCCGTGTGCACCCGAGCTGTTCTTGCTTGCAGATTCACTGCTTTAGAGTAAGATGAGCTCCAATGTCACCCGAATCCACAGCCAAACACACATCATCCACACGCCCTAATAATGCTCTCTAACTTAAATATCCGCACCCAATGGTCAAATTAAAATTATACTGTGTTGCGTATATAACTGGCTTAATTGTTTTGAGCCAGTTGTATACACTGAAAACTATTATAAACGCAACACTTTTTGCCCCCATTTTTCATGAGCTGAACTCAAAGATCTGAGACTTTTTCTATGTACACAAAAGGCCATTTCTCTCAAATATTGTTCAAAAATATGTGTTAGTGAGCACTTCTTCTTTGCCGAGATAATCCATCCACCTCACAGGTGTGTTTTAGGCTGGCCACAATAAAAGGCCGCTCTATAATGTGCAGTTTTATCACACAGCACAATGCCTCAGATGTCGAAGTTTTGAGGGAGCGTGCGATTGGCATGCCGACTGCAGGAATGTCCACCAGAGCTGTTGCCCATGAATTGAATGTTAATTTCTCTACCATTAGCCGTTTCCAAAGGTGTTTCAGAGAATTTTCCAGCACATCCAGCCGGCCTCACAACCGCACACCACGTGTAACCACATCAGCCCAGGACCTCCACATCCAGCCTCTTCTCCTACAAGACTGAGACCAGCCAACCGGACTGCTGCTGCAACAACCAGTGTGCATAGCTGTCAGAAAGTGTCTCAGGGAAGCTCATCCGCATGCTCGTCCTCCTCATCGGGGTCTCGGCTGGACTGCAGTTCATCCTTGTAACCGACTTGAGTGGGCTAATTCTCACATTCGATGCCGTCTGGCACTTTAGAGAGCTGTTCTCTCCACGGATGAATCCCGGTTTTCACTGTACAGGACAGATGGCAGACACCGTGTATGCCGTCGTGTGGATGAGCGGTTTGCTGATGTCAACGTTGTGGATCGAGTGGCCCATGGTGGCGGGAGGGTTATGGAATGGGCAGGCGTATGTTATGGACAATGAACACAGGTGCATTTTATTGATGGCATTTTGAATGCACAGAGAGACTGTGACGAGATCCTTAGGCCCATTGTTGTGTCACGTTGCAGCATGTTAACGCACGGCCCCATGTTCCTGGAAGCTGAAAACATCCCAGTTCTTGCATGGCCAGCATACTCACCGGATATGTGACCCATTGAGCATGTTTGGGATGCTCTGGATCGGCGTTTAAGACGGTGTGTTCCAGGTTCTGCCAATATCCAGCAAGTGGACCAACATTACACACTCCACAATCAACAACCTGATCAACTCTATGCGAAAGAGATGTGTTGCACTGTGTGAGGCAAATGGTGGTCACACCAGAGACTGACTGAGGGTTTTTTGACCCCCCAATACAGTAGAACTGCACATTTTAATGTGGCCAGCCTGAGGCACACCTGTGCAATAATCACATAGTCTAATAGTCTAATCAGCATCTTGATACGCCACACCTGTGAGGTGGATGGATTATCTCGGCAAAGGAGAAGTGCTCACTAACACTGATTTAGACGATATGTGAACAATATTTGAGAGAAATGGCCTTTTGTGTACATAGAAAAAGTCTTAAATCTTTGAGTTCATCTCATGAAAAATGGGGGCAAAAACAAATGTGTTGCGTTTATAATTGTTCAGTGTGTGTGTGTGTATATATATAATGCTATAGTGTTTCAGTAGGTAATATCAGATTACATGTCTTAACATTTCTTTTGTCATTAATTGTAATAATCAGTCAATAATCAGTTATCAATAATCAGATATTTGCACTATAGTGTGCACCTTTTCTAGAAGAACATTAATGGAGTCAGTGTTGCACCAACATTGTAATTCTGGCCGATACCAATACGTTGATGATGTTCATGTTGGTCTAAAACTTTAAAAGCATCTGTTTAACACTACATTTCATCTGAATATCATTTGAAATGTATTTTTTTAGATATCAGATGTAAAACCAGTTTTAAGCTCTAGATACAGGTTTGAGTTACATCTGAGTTTCTGATCAGTATATAACTGATTTCTTCCAGGTGTTCAGAAGATGCCCATCGAGAAAACCACTGACGTGCCTCAAGGTACCCGAGGTTTAAATCAGAATATGACCATCTAGTAAGCTTTATCTATGAGAGCTCATGTACTTACAAAGCATGTTGTATTCTGTACAGAGAATGACAGTGAGGAAGAAATTGAAAACCTTGTGGAAAGGACAAAAAGTGTGCTGGTCAAATGCTGAAGTTACAGCTGCAATTAAACATGTTAAGGCACATATAACCAAAGGAAAACTGGCCACACTGACTGAATGGCAGAAGTGTAAGACCACTGAAGACCCTTTCCGTGGAGTTTCAATCTCTACCTCACTCTCATTCTCAGCGTAGAAGAATACATGCTTTAGTAAGCTCTAAACACACGGGAGCTCATGTACTTACAATGATAGTTATATTGACACTAGACTCTTCTAGAGCTGATGTACAACCCAAGCAAACTTTGTTAAATAATTTTCCTGTAAATCTGCTTTGAAACTTGACTTGACAATTCTGTTTATATTTTCTGGAAATAACAGAGGTAAACCGTCCGTTGTAATTTGGTTTGTTTTGCAAATGTATATATTAGGGATGTCCCGATCCGATCCACGGCATCGGTATCGCGCCGATACCGGCCCAGAACGCTAGATCGGAGATCGGAGGGGAGAAAAAAATATGAGCGATATCCAGTAGCGGCGCAGCCTGTCACGTGATGATTGTTGTGTTTACGCACACGCGCGCAGAGAATCACTCTCGCTTTGCGTGTCAAGAGCGAAACTGGCGCGCGTAAAGTTTGAAGCGAAATTTACGCGCGTCAGAATCAAAATCCGTTGGCGGTCATTGTTTTTATGTCGACCGAGCATTCATCAAGAGAGTTACCGCTCTGTATTTACTCTGGATAGCAGAACAGCGGCGTGGGGCTCATCGTCGCCGTATATTTGTGTCCACCGGACCCTTCGGAGCCGAACCGTTTGGCGAGTTTCAGCATTTGCTCGCTCCAGGAGCTGCGCTGGATGACGGCCGCTGTCAGCGGTACTTCCGCCTGTCACGCGCCCAGTTTGATGACCTGTTGTCCCGCATCTGAGCGAGGATCACCCTCGCCCGGCCCCTCATCCATCTAATCTAGCTGTCATTTATTTTTGTTTTGATAATAAATAGAGCCAGCCTTCAAAAGTTATTAACCTGTCCTGTGATTTTTTTCTCTCTCTCACGTCCAGACACGAATTTATGCACATATGTTGATTGTCTTTACAACATAATACTATTTCTAGATATGGAATGAATAACATTCAATGCAAAATGAACATGTCTCCATATAGAAATAATGTTTTAAGTGATGAAACATTTGCTTTGTTGTGCATAATCCCACCATGCATTTAGTCATATTAACAAAATAATTTATTGAAGCATCCAGACACTTCACCACGTGAGCAAGCAGCTAGGCTCCTGATTGGTTAACGCGGCGCGAATTCACGCCAAAGTTCAGCCAACTTGACGCGCGAATGAGGCGTATTCGCGTCTTCCGCGCCGCGCTCCACGCCTCATTCGCGCCGCAGGAATTTTTCTTGCATTGACTTAACATTGAAATCATTCGCGCCTGACGCCCTATTCGCGTCCGGTGTGAACGTAGCATTAGTGCGTCGAAGTTGTGATAACGCTGTCGGCTAACGCGACATGCTACTATTTACATTCCATGGATGTTTATTCATATATACAATTGTTTTGGACTAAAAACTTCTTCAAATTGGATTGTATGGACGCTTTACAGTGAAACCAAACCATTTTTGTTGGAATGTGGACTAACAGATGGCTAATTGGTGAGTTTCTTCCAGTTTGTGTTGGTTTGTTTTGGCTGTTGGTGGTCTGACAAAGAGACAGATTGTGCCCGCTGTGTTGATTGTATCTTAAAATGGTTTACGTCGTTCGAATCACGAGTTTCTCAGCTTTCCAAAGATATGTATTATGTTTACTTTTGTGTTTGTTTTGTTTTGTCTTTCACAAAGTTAAACCTATAAACCACCCTGTGGGCCGTATACGGCACGTCGGACCACGAAAAAAAAAATATCGGACTAATATCGGTATCGGCAAAAGCCAAAGGTGCGGCATCGGTATCGGTATCGGAAGTGAAAAAGTGGTATCGGGACATCCCTAGTATATATCGCGATATGCATATCGCGACGGCTTGCAATAGCTGGGGTCATGAGCAAAAGAAAATCACTCACTGCTGTTTGCTGAATAACTGTATGTAATTAATACAGTGAAAACTAAGCAGTGTTTTATTTTCACATTTGATTATTCAGTTTCTGTTGTTAAATAATCCTAATGTAGGATAATCTGAACCCTGTGCTTTAGCATAAGAAGTATTATTTTAATATCAGTGTACAGTAAAACACTGATGTTCACTTTCAGAAGCTGATGTTTTCTTGTCACAAAAAGAATGTGAAACATTTATGTAAGGTTAAATAATAGATAATTTAAGTTTGTTTTACACACTTTAAACATTACTGTATCGAATATCGCATTATTTAATGAGTTAACGCATATCGCTTTTTTCTTCAATACTGTGCAGCACTAAGCAGCATCTATTGCATGTTGAGTGAGTTAATTTTATACATTTCAAAGCCTGTTTAATGACATCTTTAAAATGTGTCTGCTTCAAAGGGCTGTTTTGTCAATCTTTCCAAAGTTTTGAATGGTTCTTCTCTATGCCATTTCAATATGTCTTATACAAGTTTTATTGACCATGTTTTTAAGTTTGTGGATGTGACTTTACACTTAAAATGGCATGACATGATGGAATTACATGGTAAAACTGAAAAAAACTCAATGTTTATGATGATATTATTGAAGTCATAATTAAAGCACTTGTAAAACACTTCTGTCCCTGTAATGTTGCAAGTTTTTTTGTGTATTGTATTGGAGATCCAGTACTCTTAAATCACCTTAGTCTTGGTAATACACCATCTCGTCAGGTTTGTGTGTGTGTGTGTGGGCATGTGCCAGTAAACACACTCGTCCTTATAATGTTGGATTGTGCAGTTGTGTATTGTGTTTAAGATCCAGTACTCTTAAATCACCCTAGTCTTGGTAATACACTATGTTATCAGGTTTGTGTGTGTGTGTGGGCATGTACCAGTAAACACACTCGTCCTTATAATGTTGGATTGTGCAGTTGTGTATTGTGTTTAAGATCCAGTACTCTTAAATCACCTTAGTCTTGGTAATACACCCTCTCGTCAGGTTTGTGTGTGTGTGTGGGCATGTACCAGTAAAACACATAGGTCCCTGTAATCCACCCAAATGACATATTTTGTGTATTGTAAAATGAGTGTCCTCATAATCAGGTCGGGTCCCATAAATCACAATTATGTCATAGGCGGGAACATTTTAGGAGGGGGCGGGAATGTCCTTGTATACCACCATTTTTATATTTTCTGTTCTGTTGTGTGTATAGAACATTTGAAGTCAGATTTGTGATCTGCAGATCAAAACAAAATTTTTGATAGTTTTATCATCACTGTAGGGCATTGGGAAAGGTGTGTCCCTATATACCACCACCACACCGGTGCGACCTTCTATACCACAAAAACAAGTATGTGTGTGTGTGTGTGTGTGTGTGTGTGTGTGTGTTTGCTGCAACATTCAATAAAGCTTCTCAACAAGTTCACTTTGTGTCTGACAACATCATTCAACTAACAGATGAAGATGCAGGAGCTTTTCAGAAGGTTGATGTGGCAGTAAATGTCAAATAAAGCTCTTGGGGTTTGAACATGGTCTCTGGAGACAGAGCTGCTCTATTCTGAGAGATCACAATCACTCCACCCTGACAATGCAAATGGGCTTTCAGTCTCACTCTCTGATTGGTCACATCATCTGGACTGGAACACTTTCACTTCTGCTCCACATTTACATCTAAAGAAGGTTGTGATACTTCTTATATATAAAGTATAATAAAAATGATTAAGAAACCATGATCACAACTCAAGAATCAGCCGTTGTGACAGTATTTGTGTAATAATGTAAACATTTCTAATAAATATGGAGTTCAGTCATGAAACTCTAGATCAGGTTCTCCAGCTGGACACATTTTGGACGTCTCTCTAATCTGACAAACATTTCAGGTGTTGCAGTCTCTCTATATTCAAATGTCAGAAGTGAAAATATATGTAGGCTACTAAATATTTATTAGATTAATTATATGAAATAGTCTAAAATGGCTGGATTGTCTGAGAGGAAAAGTAATTATTAAGGCGTATAATTCTTTGACGTGTTGACTCCAAGATGTCTTTGATAACATTATGATAGCGTTGAGGAAGAAGTTTTTTTTTTTTTTGTAAAGGTGTAATTCACTATGAATACCACAATGAAATGTTAATATAAATTTCGATAAAGATATTTGTCAAATATCAAAATTATTTTAAATGACTGGTATTTTTAAGTATTATTTTTCTTAAAGGTCCCCTGACATGGGTTTTTTGTATTATTTTATAATGTTTCCTGGGTTGCCCTTTTAATGTTAGTATGTTTTTTAGATCAAAAATAGTCATAATTTAGAAACAATTTTTCCTAGTGAGCGTGTAGGCGGCTACGGGTCGGCCAATCTGGTTCCGTCCGTTAAAAATAACTTTTGGAAATAACAATCGCGGTCCTGGACACTGAGTGACCTTACACATTAAGATAATATCTGATTTTCTCCAGTCATTGTTAAAAAACAAGCTAATAAAACTTGCTAACTAGCGTTAGTGAAGCGGCCAGAGAGATCGTTCTGCGTCCACCTAAGCTCCGCCCACAAAAAAACGTCACCATGTTTACCAACTGTAAAAAGGACTATACGCAGCTTTGAGTAAACATATGAAAGAGAACGTCTCTGTGTAACCCATGTTCTCTAGAGAACGAAACGCTGCGTTCGCTGCCAAATATCTCGCGCTGCCAACAAGCTTCCTTTTTCGGCAGAGAACTCTGAGGAGCAGATGATGCGCGCGCTAATATAATATGACGACGTGAGCGTCAACGCGGCGCGAATGGTGATTCTATATCCATAGACAATCGTTATTCTGACGCGTAATTTTACATGTGAAATGCAGCCAAACATTTCACGTGTGTTTAATCTCCTCGCTATCAGCAGATAACTCCTGGAACGGGAGTCTCCCGCATATTGATAACGGATCCCGGATGATCGCAAATTAGTTCAAATTTCCCGGAATCTAGAGCGAGCGAGCAAGACAGATCAGACAGTGCTTCAATAAACCGTATAGTGCGCGCACGTCGGAGAGGGAGAGGGAGACAGCGAGAGACTGCGTGTGTGCGCCTCATGCCACAGACTCAGGAATCGAAATCAGGCACCGAAGTTTTCATTCTTATTCGGTCTGGTTACTACCGTTTACGTCAGAACCGGTTCCCTATTGGCACCAAGTTTCGGTACCCAACCCTAGTATAGTGATATTCCAGCCCCCAGCCCCCCAGCCCTCCCCCCCCCCCCAAACCACCACCACTACCCATTTTCGACAAATTGCAAAGCCAGGGTTTTATAATCACTGTTGCCCCAAATGTGAGTTAGGTTAGTTAGGGGGGTTCAGGGTTTCCCTGAGAAAAAAAATTATTTCTCTGATCTACATATGTGCATTTTAGGATGTTTTGAAGGCCAACAAAATTAGACAACAGCTTTAAAACCATCTCAGTAGGCAGCTGATTATTTCTCTCTCCTCATCAGCATCACCCCCTTTTCTCTTTATTTTTCTCTTGCCCTGTCTCTTCCCCTCCTAAAGCTGAGCTTTGACTGATATAGGCTTTCCATTTTTGTCTGTCAGTGAAGAAAGTAAACATAGGGTCAACTGATAGGTGGATTTTGCCTGAATTATTTTTCTCGGACACGTTTATTCACTGAAAGCTACTTAAGGTAATAAAAGGGTCACTTCACCCATTTGCATTAAGATTTGTATCTTTAGAAACCCAGTCATATTTTTGAATGGTCATGGTTTATTCCCTTATTTTCCCCTGAGATGGGAGAAATAAGGATTTAAGTGTTTAACTTCCTGCTTATCGTGACGTAAAAATCGTCATTTGCGTCACGATAAGCAGGAAGTCATATTTCATTAAAATCTTTAGAACTACATATGTTAGCTCATTATTATGCCAGGGTGTTGGACCCACTCACCCTACAAGCCTATTACAGATCAGTGGGTGGGACTTCACTTGCAGAAACTGAAATCAATATCCGCCATCTTGTTTGGAAGCTAAGCTAACAAGTGCTGTGAAGATCGTAAGTTATACAATGACGGAAGAAACTAAACATGATATGGAAGAAGAGGATTTTGAAATTCTGCTGCTCAAATCCGATGTTCGTGGCTATCTTTACGAGTCGCAGTATCGTTTAGAGCAGCTGAGGCTGATGGAGGAGCAGGAGACGCCGAGGCGGCGGCCTGTCGTGGTCGAGGACCCCGCACTGACTCTGGCGCTGGGTGGATTGCTGTTGTCTGTACTCTCGCTGCGTGCTACGGCCTACAGACACAGAGTCCGTCTGCTGCAGAGAATTTCAACGATGGCAATTTCTCCTGGAGGAAATCTCTGAATCAGACGAGCACACGGACGTTTGTGTTGTGATAGTTTCGCCTGACTAAACATCCAGGTAACATGCAGTAATTCACCAAACAGAAATAAATACAAACGAGGAGTAATTCACTTAAAGTTTGCCAATGTAACGTGAACGGGGTTTGTTGTTTAAACATTTTAATATTTTAACCGGCAAACATTTTAATAGTAAAATGAACAAATACAAAACGAAAGTATAAGCCAAAGCCAGCAGCCCCTCATTGACGACTGCTGTAACATTACCGTTACACACAACAGAAACAAAACTTCATAAAATCAGGCCTGTTTCTCTCTCGATCTGCCGTCGTCGCTCCCCATTTTATGCTTTCGTTTCTCCGTGAGAGACGCGGGACCGGCGCGCGCCACACAGCTGTCTATCATTATCACCAAATAGTCTGTGTTTAGTCTGTTATCACTCACGCCACCAGCCGTCCTCTTATGTGCCTCGCCCTCGATCGTCCTGCTCGCCACAGCCAACTAGACATTTTGTGTGAAATGAATTTCAAACTCTGGTGATAGCTAATGTTAGCCTTGTAGATGGAAGAGTGAATTCTCTGTTTGCGTGGTTCCGGATTAGAGGGTGTGGCTTGTGGAGCTGTACAAAGTGGGGCATTCTGGGACCTGTAGTCTATTCATACATATGCGCCCCTTGGTTATTTTCTGTCTTTTCTCGGTCAAGAGGGCACCAAATTAAAAAATTATTTTACATCTCAACTACATACTGTATATGATCCACTTTCAATAAAGATTTATGTTGCAATGGGTGAAATGCTCCTTTAAGTTTATTAAATACATTCAAAACAGGCATTCATTATTGATCTTATAGCTAAAACAGGGCCATAGACAGGGCCTTATAATCAAAAATGTCCTAAATTTAAGGTTGGTGCTTCAAATTTTTTAATTTCTCTGATGTGCATTTCAAGACGTTTGCAAGACCAAAAAAAAGAAAAAGAAATAGCTTTAAAACCATGTCAGTTGGCAGTAAATTCTCTTCCCCTCCGAAGGCTGAGCTTTTTTAATGTACTAAAGGCTACAATTTGTATTATATTCTCAATATATACACATTCATTATTACTCTTGTGGCTAAAATGATGAAAACGGCTTTGTTAATGTTTCTTGTCCCCTCGCAATGACAGTAAACTATTAAATTGCATGACACGAGTCACGTTACATAGGCCAAAATGGCGCAATTAGTCAAAACTATATTAGTTTGCCTGATTATTTTTTTTTTTTTTTGTCATTCGTTTAACATTTATGACCTAAAATATGTAAAATATGAAATGTTAAGTTTAGCCACTTACATCTTATCTCGCACTTGCCCGTAAACTGAAGCGTCGAGTCGCTCTGCTGAAATTCGCGCTCAGCAGCGTCGGTGAACATAAAGCCCACCTACTTTGATTTGATTTGTCATCTCAAATATTCTGACATTGACGAGCAGTGACAGACCAATGAGGCTCAGATGAACACGAACACACACACACACACACCCTGTCCTCTTTTGACGTGCTCGCTGCTCGTGCGCTGAATCTGATGACAGAACTTTAGGGAACACGAAATTCTGTCGCCTACATTTTAGGGGGGCTGATGTCGTAGGAAATTTAATTCACAAAACGATGTTGTTACGAATCCTCACGCTTTTTAAAGTGGGCATACGCAGATCTTTGACATTTGCTAGTGGGCATATGCAGATCTTTGACTTTTTCTAGTGGGTATACGGCATGTAAGGGTTAATGCCCGACGAGGTGTCCATTGTCAGGTTTTAATGGACGACGGCGAGGCGTAAACCGGCCGACGCGCAGCGGAGGACGGTTGCCTCCGCCGAAGTCCATTAAAACCTGACAATGGACACCTCGGAGGGCATTAACCCGCTTATACCATGGTCACTTGCCAAATAAAACATTAGTTTATATTTAATTAGGCTAAATCTAGTTTTTACAAATAATAACTTGACTGACTGTTTATCTAGCAACCGGAGATATTTATAGTCCGCTTAGCTCGTATCCCTTCAGGTTCACAAATGCATTTTTTTTCATGAAACACAAAGGTAGGCATAGTTTTTTTTTTTATTACACATAAAACAATTAATCAAACAACAATAAAAAAACAATTAGCTCTGAGCTCCAGCGATTTGCGCTTAACGTTATAGAGGGCAATAAATTAATCAGATCAAAGAGAGGGTCATTTGCCTCAGGCTCCTTAGGCTTGAAACGCTGTAACGTTCAGCCTTCTCCTGCCTTGGTTGTCTGGACAGCTGCGTAAAACTCCCGCAGGGTCTCATTCAGGGGTGCGTTTCCCGAAAGCATCGTTATCCAACTATGGTCGCAAGTTACGTCGTTACCAATAGAGTTCAATGGAGCAGCGCAGCAGCGGTGTAATTTCCTCCGTTTTATTTACATTTTTTCTTTCTTCAGCAGCATGCCAGTCGTCAAAGTTGCCATATTCTCCATAAATGTTAAAAGAAATAGCACGAAGTCGCTCATTGTTGTATTAGGCTATAATATCTAACGTTAGATGATAGAGCATGTGACTGCCTGTTGCTATGGTTACTCACAGCCGTTGTAGGCAGCGCATTTATTTATTAATTTCGAATGGTAAACAGGCAGTTTCACCAGAACTACTTTACTAGGTGTCCTCTATCACTTTTTAACGGACACCCTGCAGCCAATCAGAATCGAGTATTCACCCAGACCATGGTATAAATACCTGCGTATCACGTAGACTACACTACTGGGGCTTCCATAGAAAGGTGTGCAGAACTCAGTAATGTACAAGACGTGTGACCCTCTAGTGGGGAAGTATGGAAGTGCAATTAAAGGGTCTTCACTTGACCAGTTTATTAAGAGATATTAGATTGTGTTAATTATATACTATATGTAGATATGTTTACTTGCATCCTAATATATGAATAAAGTGTGTGAAAGGTTTGATATTGTGTAGTGTGTGATCCTCCATCAGCAGCTGCAGTTTCTCTCAGCTGTATCAGTGCAGTCACTGTGACGTCTGACTGACAGAGGTTTTTGTACGACTCTTTATCACTGTGTGAACACACAGCTACTAGGACAGTGAACACTCTGACAGTAATAATCTCCTGTATCTTCAGTCTGGACTCCACTGATGCTCAGAGTAAAATCACTGCCAGATCCACTGCCACTGAATCTAGATGGAGTTCCAGTATTACGATTTGATGCATAATATATGAGGAGTTTAGGAGCTTCTCCAGGTTTCTGTGAGTACCAGGCCATACGATAACCATCATTCACATTACTGCTGGTTTTACAGTTTATTCTGACTTGTTCTCCTGGTTGAACTGCTGATATTGATGGACTCTGAGTTACAGTGATCTGTCCTCTACACTCTGGAAGAAAACACACACAAAAATTAAAATAATATATGATATACAGTCTATATTTATATATATATTTCACATTTTAAGAGAACTAATAATTATTGTAAAAACTGTATCACACAAACCTTGAATAAACAGTGCAATGGTCCAGATGAAGATGCAGATGTTGTTCATAGTTGTAGTTTAGTCTTGTGTGATGATGAAGAGTGTGTGTGTTCTGCTCTCAGTCATGAAGTGTTAAACTCACAGCACTATAAACACTCTCAGAGCACTGAAGCATGTGCTGACAATGCAAAGAAGTGGGCAGGATTTACAACAGCTTGTGCTGACAACACACTCATATACACTAGAGTTACACAATCATGACTTTATTTAGTGTGTTTATTGTGACTCCTGAGACACTGAGGATGTGCAGATGAACGTCCATCTCTGTGTCCATATTCAGTCATGTGACCATCATCACTGCTACACTTCCACTAGATGAAGCGCCATCACTAAAGTAAGATCATGAATCATGAGTGTGTTCAGAAAGTATCAGGACTGATTGTGAATCTCTAATCAGAGTTCATGGTGTCACTCCATCTATCATGAAGCCTCATGTGTGTCTGAAATCATCAGATGGAGAAGAAACAGGCTGTTAAAGATGGACACATATTAGAGCTTGTTCACGTTTCATGAGATTCAGAACCAGTCCAGATACTTTTATAACACACCTTGAATATGAAAACATGCAAAACACAACTTTGAGATCTTCATTGTCACACTTTCTATTGACTTTGGCTCTAATATTCAATAAAGTCATTATTTGAACAGATTCTCACTGAAGATTGAAGTGTGAAGCTGCAGGTTTTTCTGTCAATCATGATGATTGATCTGCATATGAAGAACAGAAGCATCATTATGACAAACTCCACAACATCATCATCCATGATCAAAGAGGTCAAAGGTCACCTCAGAGGTCACAGCTCATCCCATATATTTCTTTAAACAGTGTTATATCAGAAAGCATTTAGTCAAATCTGAATGAGTGAGTGTTGAGAAGAGCTGAGGATCTTCTAATATCAGTGTGTTGAAGTGTTGTTTCTCTCTCTCTGCTGGAGTGTGTGTTCACTCGAGTGGAATAGAGGTTTTTGTACGAGTGTTTCATTAGATTGGATCACTGTGGTACACATTCGGTGGAGGAACTAAACTGGTGATCAGTAAGTCTGTCCATTTTGTCACGGCCGGCTCACAAGCCGCGACAAAGAAGGGAATGACACGTAAGATTTAATGAAAAAGGAATAACATTTATTAAAGTAAAAATAAGAACAAGACAATAACAAAAGCAACAAAATAATGGCACGAGGGGAGAGCGCGCCCGTCACGACTGAAGGGAGCTGCTTTTATTTGCCGGCATCAGCTCTTAACACAGGTGAACACCATCAGTCCATCATGACGTCACTCACTCCAACTCCGACCTACAAATAAAATGAAAAGAACAACCAAAACGACATAATATGACCCAGACTGGGGTCGTAACACCCCCACCCATAAAAAAAGTGGACATTTATGAACACAGTCACCCGATACTTCCCAAAACTGGAAAGACCCACCACTCTGTATTACTCTCCAATATCCTCAGCAACCACGGGCCCTGTGGAAGCAATTTAAGACAGACAAGTAGAGCAAAACATAGTTAGTCAAACAGTTAAAAGGAACAAGGAGCTCTGGACAATGCGTCAGCTACCACATTGTCAGTACCCCTGATGTGTCGGATGTCCAGCGCATATGACTGCAAGAAAAGGCACCAACGAGTCAGCCGTTGATTTGGGCACCGCAAAGAATGTAAATAGACAAGTGGATTGTGGTCCGTATACACAACCAATGGGTCTGACACGGATCCCACATACACTTCAAAGTGTTTCAAAGCCCAAATTAAAGCTAGTGCTTCCTTTTCAACGACCGAATAATTCAACTGATAAGAATTAAACTTTTTTGAAAAGTAGCTAACTGGACAATAAATTCCTTCCTCTCCAGCCTGCAACAACACTGCTCCAGCACCCACATTGCTAGCATCCACACATACCTGAAAAGAACGATCAAAACGAGGCGCTGCCAACACAGGAGAAGACGTAAGAAGTGATTTAGCTGCCTCAAAAGCTTCCTGACAGGTAGATGTCCAAACAAAAGATACTTTAGCTTTCAACAAATCAGTGAGGGGGGCTACCACGGTAGAAAAATTCCTGCAAAATCCCCGATAGTAGCCTACTAACCCCAAAAACCGCATCAACTCCTTCTTAGTAGTAGGAGAAGGAAAACGATCAATGGCCTCAACCTTGGCCCGAACTGGTCGCACACATCCCTGTCCAACTACCTTACCCAAGTAAGTCACCGTCCCCTTGGCAAACTCGCACTTCGCCAGATTGACGGTCAGGCCAGCCTCTTCAAAACGAGAGAACAGGGCTATGATATGCTTCAAGTGCTGCTCCCATGAATCACTGAAAACTATTACATCGTCCAGATAGACGGCCACTCCCTCTAACCCAGACACAACCCGATTCATCAACCGCTGAAAGGTTGCCGGCGCATTTCTAAGGCCAAAACTCAAAACATTATAAGAGAATAACCCCTCTGATGTAATAAAGGTGGAAATCTCTTGAGCTCTTTTGGTCAGTGGAACTTGCCAATAGCCTTTAAGCAGGTCGAACTTGCTTACAAATTTCACCGAGCCAACCCGGTCAACACAATCCTCAATACGAGGCAGTGGAAAGGAGTCTGGTTTTGTTACTCTATTTATTTTTCGGTAGTCGGTGCAAAACCGATAAGTACCATCAGGTTTATTGACAAGCAAGCAGGGAGATGCCCAACTAGAGAATGAAGGTCGTGCAATATCATGATCCAGCATATATTTAACTTCAGCATTAAAATGCAAGAGTTTATTTGGAGACACCCGATAAAAATTCTGGCGAATAGGTTTCGAATCCCCAACATCAATATCGTGCTCCAACCAATGTGTGCGCGAAGGTACATCACCAAATAAGGAAACATGATGATTAATAAAATCAATCAAATCACTAGACTTATCCTCAGGCAAATGGGCCAGCACTTTACACACATTTTTAAGAGTATCTGAATTTTTTAAACGTCCCAATAGCACGGTATCATCTGGAAAAGATACTCCCTCATCCATTTCCTCCCCCACAAGTGAAATTCTCTCAACTACTAATGCAGGTTTCACCTCATCGACCAACATCTTGTGAGAACGTGAATAATAGGGCTTCAACAAATTAACATGGCACAACTGGGTGGACTTTCGTCTCTCTGGAGTGGCAATCAGATAGTTTAAGTCAGTAACTTGTTTTTCTACCACATAGGGACCTGTAAACTGAGCTTGAAAAGGCGACCCCTCAACAGGCAAAAGCGCCAAAACCTGATCACCAGGCATGAACTTCCGTTCCTCAGTTCGTCGATCAAAAATAGTCTTTATACGCTTTTGCGAACACTGCAATTGTTCCTTTGCCACCTAACCTGCTTCATATAATCTACGCTTAAAGTCATTCACATAACTTATCAAGTTTTTTGGTGGTGCACTTTCAACCCACTGGTCTCTGAGTACAGCCAGCGGACCCCGAACTGTGTGCCCAAACACCAAATCATTGGGACTAAACCCAGTACTCTCCTGACATACCTCACGAGCTGATAACATCAACCACGGCAATCCTTGTTCCCAATCACCTTCCATCTCTGTACAATGTGAACGCAATAAAGACTTCAGCGTTTGATGGAACCGCTCCAAAGCCCCCTGGCTTTGAGCATGATAAGCACTAGCCTTATTGTGCTTAATGTGCAGCAATTTCAAGATCTGAGAAAACAAGTGAGAAGTGAAGTTAGAACCTTGATCACTTTGCACAATCTTCGGTATGCCAAAAATGGAAATGAACTGAGTCAAAGCCTTGACCACTGACTTAGCAGTTATTGTACGAAGAGGATATGCTGCAGGGTAGCGCGTAGAGGCACACATCACCGTGAGCAAATAAATGCAACCCGACTTTGATCTAGGTAGTGGGCCTACACAATCAATAATTAGGTGCTCAAACGGCGGACTGACCGCAGGAATAGGATACAATGGAGCAGGTTTGATCTTCTGATTTGGTTTACCTGTTAATTGACAAGTATGACATGTCTTTATATACTGGGACACATCCTTCTTCAATTTTGGCCAAAAGAAATTTTGAAGGATTCTGTGATAGGTCTTTTTTACCCCTAAGTGACCTGCAAGTTTATCATGGGAGATCTGTAGAACCAGTGAACGATACTTCTCTGGAACTACCACCTGCATGACAGGATCTCCAGCAAAATCTCTACCATGAGGAATCCATTTTCTCACCAATATGCCATCCTTCAAAAAATACCCATGAGCAACATTTCTAATGTCATCAGAAGACATCACATTCTCAAACAGTTGATGGAGAGAAGAATCAAGTTGCTGTTCCTGGAGCAACTCAGAAGGAGAAACAGAAAAGTCATCAGGCAAGGAGAATGGTTTTACTACAGCAGAATCAAGAGTTACCCTTGGCTGTGCAGAGGTCATGGAACGAGTTACTGCACATGCAGTAAACACTTCCGGATAATTCTTGTGACTCTCGTCAGGACCTGGAAGAGGAACAGATAAAACCACAGGAGGTGAAAATGCATCAGGCCATACCCTTCCCCCTGCCAAATTATTTCCCATGATTATATCCACCCCATCCACAGGCAGTGACGGACGTACTCCAATCACCACTTCACCACTCACAAGCTCAGATGACAACATTACTCTGTGTAAAGGAACAGACACCACATCCAACCCAATTCCACGGACAAGAATACTAGTACCAGTGTCACTCGAAAATGAAAATGGCAACACATCCTTCAATATAAAAGATTCTGAAGCTCCCGTATCTCTCAATATTGTTACTGGAATTTTTTTCTCTGTACACAGTAAATTCCCCGGTGTTAAATTTAACACCGCTCGGTGTTTATATGGGAACCACCAGCAGGGTGTTAAAAGTAACACTGATACAGTGTTAAAGTTAATGAGATAATTAAGTGAATAATTGAGTGATGATTGAGCATTATTGAAGACACCTGATGTTAACAAGCAGAATCACTGAAGGACAAAATCACAAATTGTAAGCCACCGTTATGGAGATCAGTGTTTGCTTTAGTTGGGCTCTTGACACTTATACTTTCACTTTAACTTTGTTTGTCTGCTTTTATTAATTTATAACAGTCAAATAAACACAGAAAACTGTGATCTGATATTGTTGGTTATGTTTTCACATAATCATGCTGTGATCTGAAAAATCTAACTTTTCAGATGAATTGGCTTAACTAACAGTTTAGTGATTGTGCACCATATCCGTATTTTTTTTTTTATTTTTTAACCGAAAATATTTAATAACAACTATTCTGATCAAATCACTTTCATCTTTATTTAGAAACACAGACATAAATAGTCAGCCTGTGTATCTCAACCATGGTGACATTAATAATCCTTGTTTCCACCAATCACAACGGTATGAATAAATTATGATCTGAATTGTCTATGTAATTTACTTTTCCTAATTGAATATTCTGCTCGTCACCATTGTTGAGAAGCATTGACTGAATTTTGAGGTTTATGTGTGCCTATAAGAAGTTTTTTTTAACAACTTGTAGAAATCCATTATATTATATCTGACATTCTGGATATTTATGTACAATCTCAGTTATGTTGTGACCTACAAAATTATCCACGAACATATATTTCAAATGAATGTCATAACATGACCAACACCATCATATAAATTGTCTCTTTGTTCATCTGGCAGGTATAACTCAGATGCAACAGCCAATTCAAATGTAAAGTAAATTATAAAAGGGTCAAGAGCCCAACTAAAGCAAACACTCACCTCCATAACGGTGACCTGAAAGTTAGGTTTTCTCCTTGTAATTCTGCTTTAGGTGTCTTCAATAATGCTCAATCATCACTCAATTAGTCACTTAATTATCTAATTAACTCTAACACTGCCTCAGTGTTACTTTTAACACCCTGCTGGTGGTTCCCATATAAACACCGAGCGGTGTTAATTTAACACCAGGGAATTTACTGTGTACCAACCATCGACACATGTCCATAGGTGATAAAAGGCGCATAATCACCATCTTCTAAAAGGTTGGCTCGTTTGTGAAATCCTTCACACACTGATTTAACAGGACTCAAGACTGGTGCCACAAGAGCAGCTGGTTTAACGCGAGGAAATTTTCCCCCTTTACTCTTGGCTTTAAGCACAGGACACTCACTTTTCCAGTGGCCTTTACCATGGCAGTAATTACAGATAAGAGATGAATTTCTAGACATACGATCTCCTTTATCTTCAAAAAATTCATCCCTTCTCTGAAACTCAAAACTCTTGTGTGTTAACACATAATCATCAGCTAATTCAGCAGCTTTAGCAGCTGTGTCTGCTTTCTGCTCATTTATATAAGTCGCAATTCGAGCAGGTACAGAATTCTTAAACTGTTCTAGCACGATTAAGTCAGTCAACTCCTCAAATGTGGTTACCTCAGATGCCATACACCAGCGATTAAATGCCGGACGAGGAACAAAGAAGGGAATGACACGTAAGATTTAATGAAAAAGGAATAACATTTATTAAAGTAAAAATAAGAACAAGACAATAACAAAAGCAACAAAATAATGGCACGAGGGGAGAGCGCGCCCGTCACGACTGAAGGGAGCTGCTTTTATTTGCCGGCATCAGCTCTTAACACAGGTGAACACCATCAGTCCATCATGACGTCACTCACTCCAACTCCGACCTACAAATAAAATGAAAAGAACAACCAAAACGACATAATATGACCCAGACTGGGGTCGTAACAATTTAATCACATAATAAAAATATAATTTAGATTTCAGAAAGTGTTTTACAGTTGAAACAAGAACAACATTTATTAATAATAAATTAATAAATGGTTATTTTGATGATTAGATGTTGGGGTAAAACTTTACTTCAAGCCTTAATGTACGATACATTATAAAGGTTTTCATAATGTGTGTTATAATGCAGTATATATTTTCTTAAATAATTGCAACCAAAGTTAAAATGTATTATAATACTTAAAATATCTTGTTAAATCTGAAATTGGTTGTTTGTCATGAGTGTGAAAATGAATAGATAATATTATAATGTGTTAAAGCCTTGGTTACAATTATTGATGAGATCATACATGCATTATAATGAGTAAAACAATATATAATTAATGCATTAAAAAATACCTTTATAATGCAATATGTATAAAGGCTTTAATTAAAGTGTTACTGATATTTTTGTATAATTATTTAATCTAAAACAATGATATTATTATCAGAATAGCATTATTCCTTTCAACTAAATCAATACAATTCTAAGCATATCTCTATACTGCGTCTCACTATGAGTTTATTGAGTTTATTACAGGTTTGTTTCTCCTTCATTTATTTCTACACTGAGTTCATATTTAGTTCATCTTTTATTGTAGAAATCATACATGTAAAAAGAGATTTGACATCAGAATGTAAATGTTGCTCCTTTCTGTAGTTCAGTCAATGATACTGAATCTCTTTTGCTCATGTTGTGCTTATAATTCAGTGCTTTATAATACAAACACAGACGTTGTTTTCTAGTTCTTATAAGTTATATACATTTCTTTTTATGTGAGCTTGAGTCAAACTTTTACATTGAGTTTTTTATTTGTTGAATATCTCACTTGAGTACAAACTAACTTTATTTTGGGATTTCCAATTAAATTGAATTAAAGCAGTCTGTGTATTACAATGTTTAGTTTGATTCATGCAGTGTGTGTGTGTGTGTGTGTGCGTGTGTGTGCGTGCGTGTGTGTGCGCATATATAAGTATTACATATGTATGTAAACGTTTGTTTTTCAGTTGCGTGTAAAGCGTATAATGTGCTTGCAGTTTTGCAGACTTGGTCTGAAGATTAGGTACATGACTGCATTCACTGAGTGGGCATCAACTTCTACTTTTAGTGTCTAAGCAATATGAATAAACTACTATAATAATTTACAGGCATTAGAACAGGCCTGATCATACCTAATAAACAAACAGTGATTTGACAATGAGTTGGATGGATAATCCTAATTAAAGACAGAATCATCCCCAGTGTGTAGTCAGAATATGACCTTTGGCCATAGGGACAATTTGTGAACCATGCACAGTGCAGAAACAATGTAACATCCCAAACATTACCATCTTGAATAATCCTGAATAAAAATGTAATGATGTTTCATGGAAATAAATGCAGTTTGATAGAGCAAGTATGTCTATGTATGTGGTTCTCACTCAGTTGTCTGGGAATTTTAGATGAAATTGTGGGTAGCATCATCCTCCCCAATTCTTCACCTTCCTCCACTTCTATGGAAAAAGAACAAACCAAAGATTGGTATGAAAGGATGGAATTATAAATATCATCAACTGTTGTTTATTCAGGGAAAATTGACTGAGCATTAAGCTCTTTTACAGCAATACCCAGACTCCACATTCATATGGGTATACATTCAGAAAAATATGGATATAGCAACTACAATAAATACTGTATGTATGTGTGTGTGTGTGTGTGTGTGTGTGTGTGTGTGTGTGTGTGTGTGTGTGTGTGTGTGTGTGTGTGCGTGCGTGTGTTGGAGCACACGTGGACCTATACTACCAGTCAAAAGTTTTGGAAACAGTTGTGTAAAAATGTTTTCAGGATTCTTTGATGAATAGAAAGTTCAGAAGAACAGCTTTAATTTTTTAATTTGGAACCATTAGAAATGCATTTACTGTAACTTTTGATCAATTTAATTCATGCTTCATTTTTTTCCCCTAAAAAATAACGAATAATTCTTACTAAACCCAAACCTTTGAACGGTAGTGTTTAATGTTACCAAAGCTTTCTATTTCAGATAAATGCTGTTCTTTTGAACTTTCTATTCATCAAATAATCCTGAAATAAAAATGTAAATGTAAACTAATTTTTGTACTGTAATACTGTAACAATAATACTATTGTTGACAATGATAATAATGAGAAATGTTTCTTAAGCATCAACTCATCAGGGTCATGTGACTCTGAAGACTGGAGTAATAATGTTGAAAGTTCAGCTTTGATCACAGGAATAAATTACACTTTACTATATATTCACATAGAAAACAGCTATTTTGAATTCTAATAATATTTCACAATTTTGACTGTGTTTTTTGTATTTTAATCAAATAAATACAGCCTTAGTAGAAAAAATCCTAGTGATCCAAAAATTGGTCTGTGTGAGGTTTTCTTACTTAGTTGACCTTGAAGTTTGGATGGGGATATAGAAAGCATCATTCTCTCCAATTCTTCATCATCCTCCATTTCTGTAAAACAAAGCATAAAAGCAAAGATGCGAATCATATGTCATCCCACATTTTATTAATTCAACTTAACCTTATGTATACTCAACTGTACTGGTAACAAACCTAGAGGATGAGAGGCAGATGGTGTAAGGCCAGTGGAAGCAGGTTTCGCTGAAACACTCTGAAGCTGGCTCTTTTTCTGAGTGAGGTACTGCTGCAGCCGATACATTTTGCTGCCTGGGACACACTGTTTCTGGAGGATGAATGCAGCATATCCATCTGCTCTGCTCTCCCAAACATCCCTCCAAGTCTTTTCTGCATTAATCCCAAAGCCTACCAAGTTGTCATCTTCATTCCTCACAGGTGGTGCTACTGATCTTCCAGTTAAATACTTCAGGAGGTCCTCGATTTCCTGGAAGCTTCTACTGTACTCAAGAAATGAAAGTAGGCTGTCTTTCTTGGGACCCTCTGGTTTAAACTGACCGGCTCTCTCCTCCTCCTCAACCTTCTTAGTCAAGAATATGGTATAGCCTACATCATTCTCTAGCAGCCACCGGAATGACTTGCCTTTGTACTTTCCAAACTGAAGCACATACTCTCCCAGCACCTCTTTTCTGTCTGACACATCTCCTCCTCTCATGAAGACAACAGAGCGCGCATTCTCCTTGACCTTGTCTTCCCTTTGAGGGGCTGATTTGTCCTGGAGATTGGGGTTGTCTTTGATCCTCTTGGCTTCATCTGAGGGATCTTGTCTCAGATATCCAGTAGGCCCTTTCCTGAAGCACACTTTGATCTTGCCAGGGAAGATCACTTTCACCTTCATCCTGCTGTGCTGTACATATACATTCACAAAGAGCTGATTACTGTTTATGATCTGTTGCATTAACACAATTAATTAACACACTTCTATTCTGATTTAAATGATCTTATTTCTTAATAAATAAAACATGGTCTTATTTCTTAATAAATAAAACAACAATTAAATGAACCTTTTTTTATGAAATAATTAATATTAATTGCACAATACCCTCTTTCACACACTATTTTTTCTTTATCTATTTATCTTTATCTATACTGTTTATTTATCTATTTAATCATACTAAAATGTTATTCATATAATATACCATTAAATTGCACACACATTTTTTTGTAATTTAAATGTAATATATTTGTGAGTGCGCGTGCGCGAGCGATCGGTTGTTTGTGTTTGTAGCTCCGGAGAATTTCTTCACAAATCCTTGATTTTCTTCTTTACCACTTATTTATAAACAAGCACTTTCTATTTTTATATTATGTGAACTTATCCTCGATAGTATTCCTTATAAAAAACAATTGGATTGCTTTGATATCGCTACTTATATCCAACCTCCCTAAATCCTGGCTACTAGCCTTTAGCCCGCTAGCATTCCACGCGTGCCCTCTCGCCTATTTGATCGTCTCATTTTACACCCGTTTCACTGAATCCTGGTTATTTCCGACATTTCAATCCTAAATTAGTAGTGATAGTTGTAGTATCACTACTAATTTACTGATCATCCGTTATAATGGCGAACATATCAGATGCGTGTCTAACATTACCTTTGAGTGCAGATGAAGACACATTCGAGCTCTTCACGGTGAAGCAGGAGCTGGAATACGTCGAGAAACAGATCCGCGGTCTGCTGGTGAAGCAAGCCGAGCTGTTGGATCGGCGCTCAACGCTTGAAGCATCACGCGCCGACGCTAACAAATCAAATCACTCTTTGACTCCGAGTTCATCTACGCCGTACGTTACTCTGCCGAGGAAAATGCGATCATCTAAGGCTTCATTCACTCCGGCACCGAAACAACATGGACCATGGATCACACAGCGGAAGACTCGAGCCAGGACCAGAGCTGCCTCTCCTCCCCTCCCGGTCTTCGAGATCTCCACCCGGAACCGCTTCTCCCCTCTTCGCGAGCCGGAACGCGATGACGCCGTGATCATCGGCACATCCATAGTCCGCCATGTCCGCGCTAATTCGGATAAAGGTAAAGTGCGCACTCACTGCTTTCCTGGTGCTCGTGTTCTTGATGTTGCTGCACAGGTTCCCGAGATCCTGAACGGGGACGAGCGCGTCGGAGCTGTTGTGCTGCACGCGGGAGCGAACGACATCAGGCTGCGGCAGACGGAGGTTCTGAAGAAGGACTACAGGAGCCTGATCGAGACGGTACGCAGCACAGCGCCTAAAGCAGCGATCATCGTGTCTGGACCGCTTCCCACGTACAGACAAGGACAGGAAAGGTTCAGTAGACTTTTTGCATTAAATGAATGGTTAATGTCATTGTGTAATGAACAGGGGCTGCACTTTGTAAATAACTGGCATCTGTTTTGGGAAAGACCGAGACTGTACAGCACAGATGGTCTCCATCCCAGCCGAATCGGAGCGGCTGTGCTGTCGGACAACATTTCCAAGACATTACGCACCAGATGACTAATGAGTCAAAGTCCAAATTACAGCCTTTGCGGTCCAAACTTAACTAATAAGCATAGTGTGGAACACTATATAGAAACTGTGTCTATTCCTCGTTTAGTGAAGCCAAACAATAAATCTAGTGTAGGATCTAGCAAAAATCTTATTGTAATTAAACCAGAAAATCTAAATATCAGTCAACAAAAACAATTTCTAAAGCTAGGTCTCCTAAACATTAGATCGCTCACACCTAAGGCGGTTATCGTAAATGAAATGGTCACAGACAATAACTTCGATGTTCTGTGCCTTACTGAAACCTGGCTTAAACCAAATGAGTATTTCGGTCTAAACGAATCTACTCCGCCAGGATACTGTTATAAACATGAGCCTCGTCTGATCGGTCGTGGCGGCGGTGTTGCAACAATCTATAAAGATATTTTTAATATTACTCAGAAAACAGGTCACAGGTTTAATTCATTTGAAGTACTTGTGCTAAATGTTACGCTCTTAGATGTAAGAAGGAAATCTATATTATCTCTAGCCCTGGCTACTGTATATAGACCTCCAGGGCCATATGCTGAATTCCTAAAAGAGTTCGCAGACTTTCTCTCGGATCTATTGGTAAATGTCGATAAAGCAATAATTGCTGGAGATTTTAACATACACGTAGATAATACAAATGATGCTTTAGGGGCTGCGTTTACAGATTTATTAAACTCCTTTGGGGTCAAACAAAACGTCCCACTCATCGTCTAAATCATACACTAGATTTAATTATATCATATGGAACCGATCCAACTGATATAGATATTATACCGCAAAGCGATGATGTCACTGATCATTACATGGTGACTTGCATAATACGTACTGCTGAAATATGTCATGTTGCGCCACGTTATAGACCAGGCAGAACAATCCTTCCAACCACTATAGATGGATTTTCAAATAGCTTACCTGATCTATCTAAGCTGCTAAGTGAACCCAAACAAACAGATGAATTAGAGGAAATGACTAGCAGTTTAAGCACCATTCTTACTAGTACATTAGATATTGTTGCGCCAATTAGATTAAAAAAGGTTCGAGAGAAAATTAAAGCACCGTGGTACAACAGTGCTACGCATGCTATCAAGAGAGAAACCCGTAAGTTAGAGCGTAAATGGAAACAAACTAATTTAGAGGTCTTTAGAATCGCGTGGAAAGACAGTATGTCACGTTATAAAAAGACACTAAAAACAGCCAGGGCTGAGCATCTCCGCAAACTAATCGAAAATAACCAAAATAATCCAAGGTTTTTATTTAACACCGTGGCTAGACTAACAAATAAACAGACATCACCAGAGCAAAATATACCTTTACAGTTTAGTAGTAATGATTTTATGAATTACTTCAATGCGAAAATAGAAAGCATCCGAAACAAAATTATAAATGTACAATCCGCTATGGTGTCTTATGATTCAGCTTCAATTATGGACCCTCTAGAACAACTAAACCGCTTTACAACGATAGGACAGGAGGAGCTAAATAAACTTATCATTGCATCTAAACCAACAACTTGTTTATTAGATCCAATACCCACTAAACTACTGAAAGAACTATTACCTGTAGTGGAAGAGCCTCTCCTCAATATTATTAACTCGTCTTTATCTTTAGGTCATGTCCCAAAAATATACAAGCTGGCTGTAATAAAACCGCTCATTAAGAAACCGCAATTAGATCCAAATAACTTGGCAAATTACAGACCCATTTCAAATCTTCCATTTATGTCCAAAATACTTGAAAAAGTAGTGTCCGCTCAATTGTGCTCTTTTTTGCAAGAAAATGATATCTATGAAAAATTCCAGTCAGGATTCAGACCGCATCATAGTACAGAAACTGCGCTAGTTAAAATTACAAATGATTTACTTTTAGCTTCTGACCAAGGCTGTATCTCAATACTAGTCCTACTTGATCTTAGCGCTGCGTTCGACACTATAGATCATATAATACTCTTGGATCGACTACAAAACTTCACCGGTGTCCAGGGACAGGCATTAAGCTGGTTTAGATCGTACTTATCGGACCGTTCTCATTTTGTCTGTTTAAATGGGAAAAAATCAAAGATAACGTCAGTAGACTATGGAGTACCGCAAGGATCAGTTTTAGGCCCTCTGCTATTCTCAATATATATGCTGCCACTTGGTAATATTATAAGAAAACATGGAATTAATTTCCACTGTTACGCTGACGACACTCAATTATATATTTCATCACGACCAGATGAAAACACTAACTCATCTAAAATGACAGAGTGTCTCAAAGATATAAAATGCTGGATGACGCGTAATTTCCTGCTATTAAATTCAGATAAAACGGAGGTATTACTTATTGGTCCAAAAAACTACTCACCAAACCTCTCACAATAAAACTTTAATATAGACGGATGTCCTGTTACTTTATCCACAACAGTAAAAGACCTGGGTGTTATACTAGACCGCAACTTGTCGTTCGAAAATCATATTTCATATGTTACAAGAACAGCCTTTTTCCACCTTAGAAACATTGCTAAGCTACGTAACATGCTATCTATTTCTGATGCAGAAAAATTAGTTCACGCATTCATGACCTCGAGACTAGATTACTGTAATGCTTTATTAGCCGGTTGTCCTGCATCCTCAATAAACAAGCTACAGTTAGTACAAAATGCAGCTGCTAGAGTTCTTACTAGGTCAAGAAAATATGATCATATAACACCGATTTTATCATCTCTACACTGGTTACCTATTAAGTTCCGCATCAACTACAAAATACTACTACTGACCTATAAAGCCCTAAATGGTTTAGCACCTATGTACTTAACGGACCTTCTTTCGCCCTACAATCCACCGCGTTCCTTAAGATCACTAAATTCAAGGCTTCTGGTCATTCCTAGGATATCGAAGTCCAGTAAAGGAGGGAGGGCGTTCTCGCATTTAGCTCCAAAACTCTGGAATGGCCTTCCCGATACGGTCCGAGCCTCTGACTCGCTGACACAGTTTAAAACTAGATTAAAGACGCATCTCTTTAGTCAAGCATTCACATAATGCTTACCTTCTAGTCCTCTGTTATGCCATACGGAACCGTTTGCCACTGAAACTGCTTAACGCACCAGTGGGGCTCGACAGCCTCTTAGACAAACGGGTCGGCGCGTATGGTTGGGTTGCGGAGAGTTCGGGTTACGGAGAGTTTGTGAGTTATAACGGAAATTATTATGAACATCAGCTATGCTAATTATTTCCCATCTGCCTTTCTGCTGTTATCTCGGGACGAAAAATGGCGTTCGTCAGGTCCAGTTTTGTGTCCAGCCTCTCACGGGGATTTCGGATGCCCCAACGCCTGTGATGAGACGACTCAACGCCTGTGATGAGACGACTCAACGCCT